AGGAAGCCATTGAGTGAAGGATGAGCGAGGATCCCCCATCTGGCTGCGCTGCTGGGGTACAGGGGGAGCAGTGCTGATGTTATAGGCACACTTTATGCTTTGGGATAAATGGGGCAGGGGTCTTAGAGGAATTGCAGACCTGCAAAGTAAGACCTGCTTCCTGGACTGAGGATGGGAAGACAAGATGGCCCCTCTATCCCCTTTACACTGTGGCATGCACATCCACCCTTCAGTTTCCTGTTTAGATTGATACCAGCCAAGTGGTGCTAGTCTAAGTGTAGAATGAATGCAGGGGTTTGTGTGGAAATGCTCCCCCACAGGCTCATGTGTTTAAACTCCTGGTCTCCAGATGGTGGCGCTGTTTGGAAAGACTGTGGAATCATGAAAAGGTTGAGCCTTGCTGGAGGAAGTTGATTCCTGGGGGTGGGACTTTCAAGTTCCATGTTGTCTGTATTGTTTCCTGACTGCCCAAGCAATGTGACCAACTGCTCAGACTCCTGCCACCAAGGCCTTCCCAACCGTGATGGACTGTGCCCTCTCAAACCGCGGCAGGATGAAACACCCTTCCTTACGTTCGTTGCTTTTCTCAGTGTTTTGTCACAGCAGAGAAAAGTAACTAACGCACAGAGTCAATTCACATCCAAGCCAGGGAAGCTTAAAACTCCATCTCACTAAGACAGCAATGAAGACGCGTCTGACATTTTCTTCTGTTTCCTAATGGGCCATCCTGGGCATCTCTTCCACTCCAGAGACCATTCGGCTAGGAAGCGCATACACTGAAGCACCCCTTTGCACAGTGGCAGAGACACAGGGTGGCAATCCCTACCTTCTGTGGGTTTCCTGCTCTTTTAAATACAGATTGGCACCGTCACACCTGCTGCAAAAGTGAGCAATAGAACATCTGCATTCCCTCCTTTCCCTTCTCTCTGGGTCGATGTGGTGGATGCAACGCAGGGTTTTTCTCTCAGCTTCACTCGCATGATCTGGTGATGGCAGACGCCCCTCTGCTGCCTCACTAGACCTGTTAGAGAAAGGGCCTTCCTCAGGGGAGAGTCCTAGAATTCAGCTGCATTCATACACAGCGCTCTCTCTCTCTCTCTCTCTCTCTCTCTCTCTCTCTCTCTCTCTCTGTCTCTGTCTCTGTCTCTGTCTCTCTCTCTCTCTCTGTCTCTGTCTCTCTCTGTCTCTCTGTCTCTGTCTCTCTCTGTCTCTCTGTCTCTCTCTCTCTGTCTCCTATTGCACTCAACAAGTTGGGTCTGTTTTAAGCAGAGAAGAATTTGCTAGCTTCTGTAACTGAACAGTTCATGGGTGAATCAGTCTTTTCCAGGGATGAGAAACCTGATAGGTTATCCAGTCTCAGATGGACAGCCTTACACACACCTACAAGCAATACCAACTGGACTGGACAGATTGTATCTATCAATCATCTGTCTATCTATCTATCTATCTATCTATCTATCTATCTATCTATCTATCAATCATCTATCTATCTATCTACCTACCTACCTATCATCTATATCTATCTGTCTATCTATCATCTATTCATTCATCCACCCATCTGTCCATCCATCTATCAGTCTGTCTATCTATCTATCTATCTATCTATCTATCTATCTATCGGAGGTCATGGATTTGAGAGGGATTGGGCACCACGGAAGGTATTGGAGGGAGCAGAGAGATGGGAGAAAATAGTGTAAATCCAGTACTCATGTGTGAAATTCTCAAGAAAAAATTTTTTTTTAAGTTGCAAAGGGCCAGATAGGTGTCTTTCTTGTCCCTGGGTTGGGATCATGTGACTTGTGCTTTCCAATCAGTCTTTATGTTCTCAGAGGCAGTGATGGCAGGACTCAGGGTTTAGTTAGCCAGGACCAGACACTAACACATGCACGTGAGGACAGGTGACGGATGAACTGTCGTCGACATGCAACACTGGGGATGTGGGACTGTGTGCTCCGTCCACGCCCCGCTCCCTGCCCCCACTGCCACTGTTGCCGTCTCTAGTGTTCACCGAGTTCATGCTGTGAGCTGGATGCGGCCACACAGGCATCCGTGTGGGCTCTTTAGTGGTGTCTGCCCTTGACAGATGCCATGCCCTTCAAGGCCGTGCAGGGGGTGGAAGCACGGCTGAGGTCTGGACTTGATCACACAGCAGCACCGCTGTTTAGTTCTTCTCACGTTCCTGGAGAGAGGGGCTATCTTTGCGTCTCTGCATCTCTCACATGGTGTGGAATGGGCTAGCTACATCTCCCCAGGTTCAGGACTTGTCTGCCTCCCACACACCTCATTTCAGCCCTCCTGTCCTGTAGCTCCCGTCTGTTATCTCCAGAATTTGTTGTCTATTCATCATGAACCATTTTCACTTCCTTTCTACACATACCTTTTTTATTACATTTTATTTAACGTGTGTGTGTGTGTGTGTGTGTGTGTGTGTGTGTGTGTGTGTGTGTGTGTTTATGTCCACAGAGGCCAGAGGCCAACTTTTGAGAGTCAGTTCTCCTCATTCCACTGTGTATAGACCCTGGGAATTGAACTTGGGTCATTAGGCCTAGCAGCAAGCACCTGCCGACTCCTTCATTCCTCATCCTCTCTGGCTGGTGCTCCCACAGAGCATCTCTGGGAAGACCGAGAGCTACTGGGTACAGCGTGTCAGTCTGAGAGCTGGAGGGGTTTACCTAGTTTACACCGTGAAGGTTTACCCTGTGCGTGTGTTCTCTTCCCATGAAAAGACAGTCAGTGTCATCTAAATATCCAAACAGATACTGAAATCATTGCATTTTGTTAGCCCTGCTGGTGTGCTCTTTTGAAAAGGATAGAAAAATGTGTCTTCTTTAAACTTACCCTGAAGCAGGAGTCCACAGACTGTGGCTTCTTAGCCTAAATCTGCCCTGTGGTTTGCTTTGATGTGGTTTTGTGTAGTTTTGTTTTAATGTTTAAATCACATTTGTGATCCCAGTGCTTGGGATGTAGGGGCAGGAGGGTCAGGAGTTCAAAGTCAGCCTCAGATACACAAGCAAACTCAAGATCCTCCTGGGCTTCATGAGACCCTGTCTCCAAACTAAATAAACAATGAAAGAACTGTATGCATAAACAGAAAATCCAACCAAAAGATGCAGTTTTAGAAACCATCATAGCAGATACTCAGATGGCTTGGGCAATCTAGGGGGACGGTGACTTTGGGGACTAGACATTGTTGCTGCTCTCTCGGATTCTGATGAAGCTGTTCATTCCAAAAATATTTCTCCCTGGGGCTCTATTTGAGCCCAAGAGCTGGGAATATGATGCATATTCCTTTGTTCCTTGTTATGTTCTAGTAACATGCCCTCCTCCCCCGTGTGAGCCTGTTACTCCTTGTCTGAGCTGGTAGGTCTTGTTACTGCTGTTAATAATCTCTGCCTTCCTTTTTGGCAGGACAGTTACATTTTGCTCAAGGGCATAGTGAAAGCAATACTAACAGCCAACCACCTGCCACTAGATGGCAGTATGGTTCTGAGAAATAGGCTGAGAAGGTGCCCGGTGTGGAGGAGGAAGCAGGAAGTCTTGTGATTTTAGGCTATTTCCTGTCCTGGACAGACCTCATTCTAAACTCAGACTCTGGTACAAATCTGCTGTGTGTCTGTCTTTGTGTGCTTAATTATAAAAATGGATATTGTAGTGATGCCCTCTTCACCCCTGAAGAGTTTCTGTGAACACCCGGGAGACCAGACTTGAGCACATGTGTGCATGTCACAGTGCACACATGTGCTCATTAAAGCCATTCCTTGGGCATACTTCTTAAGACATAGCAACTTTTGTGACCTCCTTGTATGACAGCAATGAGAACCTGGTACAGAGGTAGCAGTAGGGAAACGCAGTTGGGCACGGGAGTCGTAGTCATGGGCGAGGTTGACCCAAGGGGTTCTGAACCAGGGCTCGATAAAGGCAAGAAGTTCTAGGGTGCCGTGGCTCACCCAGGACAGCTGTAGCTACAGACACAGCAGTTTGTTTCAAAAGACCACAGGGAAGGATTTGGGACATTCTTATAAACGATGATCAATGATCGTTTAGGGAACAAGCTATGTTTACCCTGTTTGAACATGATACAATGTATATATGTTATAAAAAAAAATTGTGGGGCGGTGGCGGCACACACCTTTAATCTCAGCACTCGGGAGGCAGAGGCAGGCGGATCTCTGTGAGTTCGAGGCTAGCCTGGGCTACAGAGTGAGTTCCAGGAAAGACGCAAAGCTACACAGAGAAACCCCGTATCGAAAAACAAAACAAAACAAAAATATGGTTTTTATGGAATTCTGTATCAGCTACAAATAAACCTAGGGGCTAGGGAGACTGCTCCGTCAGTAAAGTGCTTGCTCAGCAAGCCTGAGGATCTGACTCCAGACCCTCAGTACTCACGTCAAAAAGCCAGTCGGGGAAGCACGTGCTTAGAATCCCAGGGTTGGGAGGCAGAAACAGGAGCCTTTCGGAAGCTTGCTAGCTAGCCTGTCAGCCTAGCTGAATCAGCAAACCCCAGGTTCAGTGAGAGACCCTGTCTCAAAAATAGAAACCTCAAGAATGTCATAGTGTTTGTCAACCAGACACAAACCTGGACACACCTGGAAGAGAGAGAGACTGGGTTGAGGAACTGCCCTCGCCTATAACTCGTGGGCGTGTCTGTGGGGGGGTGATTTTCTTGATTGCTAATTGGTGTGGGAGGGTCCAGTCCACTGTGAGTGGTACCATCCCCAGGCTAGCTGAGCAATTCATTAAGAGCAAGTCAGTAAGCAGTGCTCTCCATGGCCTTTGCTTCAGCTCCTGCCTTGAGTTAATGTCTTGGATTTTCATGATGATGGACTATTCCTTGTAAGCCAAATAAGTTCTTTCCAAGTTGCTTTTGGTCGGTGTTTTATTTATTATTAATTTTTTAATTTTTTTTGAGACAGGACCTCACTGTATAGATCTGGCAGGCCTGGAATTAAAGGTGTGTACCACCATTCTTGGCCTGGCAGAGTGTTTTATCACAGCAACACAAAACAAACTGAGAGAGATAGAGAGAGAGAGAGTGTTGGAAAAACACACTCAACATTGACCTCTGGCCTATGTGTATATACACATATATGTGAACATATGCACACACATCCACACACACAGACTTATACAAGCAAAACTAAATTTAATTTAAATAAAAAAAAGAGTTGAAGAATTCTTTCGACCCTCGCTCTCCCTGTCTGCAGAGCATGAAGGATCAAAGAGCCAGCCTGTGGGGGCTGTGGAGACAGAATCAGATGATCCACGTCAAGTATTTGCACACTGCATAGAAGGAAGTGGTCCATCGGTAAATGCTGCACTGTGGCTCTGTGCTTTTGTGATTCTGAAACGTGTCAGTGCACAGTTATATATACATGTGTGGCATACATGCCACTTTATGTACATTGCAGTTATCCATCCATCCATCCATCCATCCATCCATCCATCCATCTGTAATCCATCAATCTATCCATCCATCCATCCATAATCTACCCATCCCTCCCTTCCTCCCTCCATCCATCCATAATCTACCCATCCCTCTCTCCCTCCCTCCCTCTATTCATCTATAATCTACCCATCCATTTATCCATCCAGCCATTCATTCATTTATTCATCCAGCTCTCTACCCATTCATTTATTCATCAATTTGTCCATCCATCCAAAACCATATATGTATATTGAAAATAACATTCTAGCTCCAATGGTATGGAATAGGTACACCATTAGTATCTACTCAAGAAACTCATATGATATGCTAATATAAATAATTATGTGATATAGCCCTGGGCTGTCGATGCAAAAGCTCAGCAAGTGATAACTGGTTCTCCTAAGATCTGACTGCCACCCCCAAATGCCATAGCTTGAACTCTTCCTTGGGCAGTTGTTAAACATCCAACTCAATTTTATTATATAGGATTTTTAGGAAAGGGGTATGGTAAGGGAGCCTGGAAGAGTTGGCAGAGTCAGGGTTGAACATTGAGCGGAGACAGGGAACCTGATGGGGGAAGAGGGGGAGAGACACATGGAACCATCATCTCAGACTAACATATTTTTAGAAGTGTCTTCAGGTGACCTCACTGCTCCATGATGTGTGTCCATGTGATAGCACAGGCTGGCCTCAGGTACATGCCGGGGTGATGTACTGCCGGATGGGCATGTTGACCCGGGTCTGTAGCCAGTTGATGTAATCCTCTTGTGGCATATGGATGATGTGTTCTCTCACAAACTGTGGGGTAAACATAGTGTTACTCTCAGAGTCTGGTTTGAAAGCTGGACTAGCCTGCCCCTCTGCCAACCTCTCTTTGGCATTCCAGAAGACTTTGGGATTGATATCCAGGATGCCCCCGATGATTCGGACATTCATATTTAAGTTGGTGCAAAAATAATTGAGATTTTTACATTGTTGACATTTCTCATTGGACATTGGAATACATTCTTAAATAAACGTGGTTGTGTTATATACCATTTTTGATGCACATTTCTTGATTTATATGCTTGATGATGATTTATCACTTGATGTTTATTTTATACTATGGAAATGATATTATTAGAAGAAAAATTCAAGTTCTTTTTTTAAAATTACTATTTTATTTTATATGTTTGAGTATATGTATGTGCCTGTGGAGGCCAGAAGAGGGCATCAGATTCCCTGGAACTAGAGTGATAAGTGGTTGTGGATGGCCATGTTGGGAACTGAACCCAGGCCCTTGGCAAGAGCAGCCAGGGATCTTAACTGCTGAGCCATCTCTCCAGCCCTTTGAGTGATGTTCTTATTTGAATTCAAAACAGGTCTTAAAGCAGCAGAGACAATGCATTTGGCCCGGGACCTTCTGATGAGTGTCCAGTGCAGAAGTGGAGACTAGGCAAGGCATAGTTGGGGGCAGTCATTGACGGTGACCCTTCACAAACAATCGAGAAAGTTCCTTTCCTTTATTCCGTCCAGCAACAGCATTCATTCCTCAATTGAATCGGACAGCACAGGACAACTACTGAGCAATCTCTCTGGCCCTTAAGATATTAAGACGTCAAAAGAGCAGAGATAAAAATGTATCCAGATGGGTTTTCTTCCTCTCTTCAAACTTTCTTAGGGGACTTGGCAACAAGATGAGCTTAAAATTGTAATGAGTTCCTAACGGTTCAAGAAGATCAAGTTCATTGACAATATCCATTCCCAAGTACCCTCTCCTGTCCCCATTCTCACTAGTCCCTGTAGGTTTTCATGTCATGTGCGTGTGTGCATGCGTGTGTGTGCACATGTATGTGTATGTGTAAAGAGAAAATCTGGTAGTCTTGCCTTTTAAGCTTAGTATAACAATGTCATGTCCACTTCCCTGCAAGTGGCATGAACAGCTCTTATAATGTCACTTGTTCTTAGAATGTTTGCTTTGGTCAGTGCTCCCATTGAGCAATGTGGACAGATCCGACATCGAGCTCCAGGAAAGGGTTGAAGACACACAGAACCCAGTGTTTCCTGTGAGTCCTTGCTGTTAGGCGATCTGTGACGTTCTCCTCATGAGGAGCACGCCGAGTGTTGGTCCCCAAGTCTGTGGGCTCACTGTTAGGCAAGGGGGAGCTTACATAGCCCCCCCCTTCAGCACTCTGGAAGAGCATCCTTCCACACACCTCAGTAAGGGGTGGGTGGGGGCAGGGGCGGAGGTGGACAGTCACCCTCAAACTAGTCCTGTGCAGTCTATCAGAGGTTTTCCTGAGGGTGCCTCCTTTGGTGACCAGAGTCGAGTCTGGGCATCTGAAGGGGTCCACAGGGCCACCTCCTCCACCACTCTTGACCTCACCCTGTGCACATGCACCCAGGTCATCCTGTGGAAGGACCAATGCGTTCTTAAGCCTGTCTACTCTTAGAGATCCACCATTTGAGTTGCTGCTTCTTCGGGGGGGGGGGGGGGGGGCGAAGTCCCTATTAAAATGCACACATCCAACCTGATAAGATGAAGGATGAGTGGACTTCAGAGATAAGTCAGGGGGTCAGGTGTCTGCTGCTCTTGCAGGGGACCTGAATTTGGTTCCTAGCCCCTACATTAAGCACCTCATAGCTGCTTGTAACTCTAGCTCTAGGGGGATCTGATGACCTCTTTTGGCCTTCATTGGCACCTATACTCATGTTCACCCTCCCATATGCATAGTTTAAAAATAAGATAAGGGCTGGAGAGATGGCTCAGTGGTTAAGAAAACTTGCTGCTTTGGCAGAGGACCTGGATTTGGTTCCCGGCACCCACATGGCAGATTGGAACTACATGTAACATGTTCCAGAGGGATCTGATGACTTTTTTTGGCCTCTAAGAGCACCAGGCATGCCAGGCGGCGGTGGCGCATGCCTTTAATCCCAGCACTCGGGAGGAAGAGGCAGGCGGATCTCTGTGAGTTCAAGGCCAGCCTGGTCTATAGAGTGAGTTCCAGGACAGGTACCAAAGCTACACAGAGAAACCCTGTCACAAAAAAAAAAAAAGCACCAGGCACTTCACACAGTGCACATAAGTACATGCAAACAAACACTCGCATGTACAAGATAAAAATAAATAAATCTTAAGACATAAAATCTTTGAAAGCAAGGATGCACTTTAAGTATTTTTTTTTAAAGCCCTGGGGGTTGAAGTCAGGGCCTTGTGTGTGATTTGCAAATGCTGGCTAGGTTGTCAGGGGTGACCTTGGGCTCACCCTGTAGCCCAGGCAGGCAGTGGAACTGTGATCCTTCTGTCTAGCCTCCAGAGCGCTGGGATCCCAGGCCTGGACCACCACCTCGGGCTCCACAAGCATCTTTAACCTCCCTTTGGCATCCTTACTGCTGTTATCTTTGACGACCCAAGACTTCAGGGATGCTGGTGATGGGGAAAGCTTCTAGCACCCTTGAGGAGAGCCCAGGAGCTCTACCGTGACCTTCACAGGTCTTCTGGGGTTGACATGTCACCTCCTTGACCTCCCTCTGCCACACCCAATGACTTGCAATATGTTTCTGCGACAAGTGAGGCCGTGTTCTCTCTTCACGCTGCGCTTTTGCCTTCTTTTCGTGGTTCTGACTTCTCACCGTTCAAGTCCAAGATGAAACCTTACCTGTCCCATGTGCCCTGGTTAGCTAAGTCCTCCAGAATTTAAACCAGAGCTCCTCAGCGTCACCATGCATCCGACACACCTGGGGCCTCATTAAGATGTCAATTCTGTATTGGCAAATTGGGTGCCTGAGGTTTCACACTCCCCACAGGCAGGCAGTGAGGGCCACACCGCCGGCCCGGGAACCAACTGCAGTTTCAATAGCATGCTTTGAGATGTGCATTTCGATGACTAACCCACTTATGTCCTCTCCAAGCCTCCTAGTCTCCAGGGAGTACTGCTTACATAGACTCCAATGACCAAGGCCACATGACACTCTCTCTGCAATTAGAGTAAGAGCTTCAGAGGGCAGGGTTTTTGTGTTTTGTGATGGTTGAGTCCACTGCACTCCAGCAATGCCTGGATGTTGACAGATGACTGAATGAGGGCATCTGAGGCACTGTGAGGGGAATGGGGCATGGTCATTACCTCAATGGCCACCGCAATGTCTGGGGAGCACAGCTCCCAGATCCGCAGGTCCTGGAGCACCTTCAGGAGGACATGCGGCCGGATCCTCAGGTCTAGGTTCTCTCCAAACTTCTGCAGTTTTGCCAGGATCTTCTTTGCAGGCCGGAAGTTCTTCAGATCTTCAGGGAGTTTGGACAACAGATCAAAGTACCTTCAAGTCCAAGAGGAGAGAGCCAGTTAGGGAAGCCCTGGGATGGGGATCTTGGCCCTTTGGGGCCTCCTTCATTTTCTTTTCTACTCTTGGGATGTCTTGAGGGCATCATGAGCCTCTATGTGGGGGCCCTGTCCTCTATACCCAGTTTTTGTTGGGTCATACATGAGGTATTTATTTTTAAGGGTAGCCGGCTTCTGTTTCACTGGCAAACAAAGAAGGGTCATTCTTTAAAAGGCTGCATTCACAGAACAACGTTCTATAAAGTAGATAGTGTGAAAATCCAGAAAACAAAGTGGAGGGTGGGTGGGTATTTGAGATTCTCTTCTGACTTTTAATCATGCCAGGGTGGATGTGGACACATCTGTGGGTGTTTTCTAGATGACAGTGGCTGGGGCAATCAATGATGATGGTGGCGATGGAGATGATGGTAGTGGTGGAGATGATGGTGGTGGTGGAGATGGTGGTGGTGGTGGAGATGATGGTGGTGGTGGTGATGATGGTGGTGGTGGAGATGATGGTGGTGATGAAGATGGAGATGATGGGCTGTGCATTTTCCATCTCCACAATAATAAGCTCAGTTGACAGGCTGTGTGTCTCATGTTATCACTGGGAATGCATGGTTGAGGTGGTGGAGACTAACCCATCTTAGTTGGGTTCTAACCCATCTCTGTCTAACCTACTAACCCACCTTAGATCTAAGAGCATGCTTTAACTGTGGTCAGGGCTTACTTAGGACAAATGATGGCATGTGTTTAGAAAGTGCTCTCGGGTAGAGTGCTTGTCACACATGCCTGACAACCTGAGTTTGAGCCCCAGAGCCCACAAAAAGGTGGAAGGAGAGAACAGAATCCACGAAGTTGTTCTCTTAACTCTACGTGTGGCCCTGTCTTTCTCTCTCTCCCCTTTCTCACATGTGTAGCATGAATCTTAAAAGTTCTTATTAGTAAAAACAAACCCGGAGCCAGGTATTGGGGTGAACGCTGAAAGATCAGAGAAACAGAACCAGCCACAGCTAACTTTACCGCCAATTCCTCAGCTGATCTCGTTTCCTCAAACTGGAAGCCTCTGTGTCCTCATCCAAATGGATCTCAGCTGAACTGCTGCTAAAAGCCTAAAAGCTTAACAGACTCTAGTTCCTGGTTTTCATGCCTTATATGCCTTTCTGCTTCCTGCCATCACTTCCTGGGATTAAAGGCACGAGTCACCATGCCTGGCTGTTTCCAGTGTGGCTTTGAACTCACTGAGATCCGGATGGATCTCTGCCTCCAGAATACTAGGATTAAAGGTATGTGTGCCACCATTTTCTGGCCTCTATGTCTATCTAGTAGCTGTTCTGTTCTCTGACCCCAGATAGGTTTGTTAAAGTGCACAATATATTGGGGGACACAATATCACCATACATATGTACTAATTAATAATAATAAGATAACAATTCAATTATAGAATTATGACATAATTTATGATGATGATGAAAAGTGCTCTCCTCCATCACACATGTACCCTTGTAGAAGATTTTGAAGAATAGCTTCACCCACCAAACATTCCTGGGTACTCACCTTTGTACTTACGGCATGCATTTATATATTTGTTCCTGTGTCTTTGCATGGCATGAATCCCCATGCAAACATAAACTTTGCCTGAGTTACTCAGCACATGTGCTGAACTAACTGGGCCCGACAGATAGTAGGTGTTCCATAGTTATTATCGGAAAGAGTGGATGAGAAACTGGATGGAGGAGGGGCCCAGCTGAGCACCCTTGTTGACAGGCTGTGGTTCATTTGACTTGATTTTAATGATGCTATGGAGGGTCCTTGTTTCTCCATGATGATACTGAAAGCTCTATCATTAGAGACGCTGGCTGAGTCCCACCGTGAGAGGCTCAACACTAAGTTCCCACTCTGATATCATCGTGTGAGTTAGCTTATTACGCTTCCACTTTCCTTCCCAAAGAGGCTGGGTTATAAACCACCTCTCCCTTCCCCCTTGCATAAGGCACCTTTGGGAGCCCATGTACCTTCGGGGATAGATACTGCTCATGAGACAGCAAAGACCTGGGCATGTGAGGCAGTGTGGGTGGTTACTACATCTCTCCTGCAGCTCAGGGTCCCTCTGAGTTCCTACTCCACATCAGTAATAATGTGGGAGGGAGTCTAGGTCCATCTCTCCATTTTTCTCATCGTTCTTTTAGATCTTGTTTTCCTCATCCTGGCAGAATGGGGTTCCCGACACAGAAGGTCACACTGTGATTCAATATTACAAGTGAATGTGTGGTTTGAGACCAGACAGAAGCTCATGTCCTATGCTCACCACTTACAGTGTGGCCTAGGACAAGTGAACCGACTTCTCTGAGACTCAGTTTCCTTGTGAAATAGGGGTTTCATTTGTATCCTTAAGGATTTGGAAGGATATGATATGAAACATTAAATTTTCTTAGGGTAGCCTCTGCCATCCATCAGTCACTCAGTTCAGAGTGATTTCTTAAGGTGGGCCAGCATTTCCTTTAAAGTTTTAAAAACCTTGTTTTAATTGACATAATCACTGAACCTATTTCTAGGGTACTTGTGTCACACGTTGGGACTTTTTATTCTTTTGTCTCACTGCATAGCCTTGGTTAGCCTGGAACTTACCGTGGAGACCAGACTGTCCTGGAACTCACAGAGGTCCACTTGCCTCTGCCTTCTGAGTGCTGGGATTAAAGCAGTGTGGCTCCACACCCAGCAAGTGTCAGAATGTGTATGCAGTGTATAATGTCCCAATATGGATGCACTTGAATGCAACATATAATGTCCCAATCTAGATGCTCAGTACATCCACCAAGCATTCATCACTTCTCCATAGAGATTCAGTACTCCCCCTTCTGCCTATTTCGAAATACCCAGTGCCATCACCCTGCCATGCAGCAGACCCCAACCCTCACCATGTTGCTATCCATTCTCTTCCACATGCTGGGGCACAGTGTTCCCAGGAGTATACAGTGATAACCTCAGAGAACTCAGACTCTGCAGCCATTTGATTGACAGGTTTGGTATTAATCTTCAGTGTGTGTGTGGGGGTGGGGGGTGGTGGTGGTGGTGGCAAGTGAACTCTCCTTATTTCTAAGTCTGGACCAAAAACGAGGTAACTATGAAGACCAGGACAGGTTTCATGACACGTGGTTCTGGAGCTAGCAGATTCTTCCCTGATTGCAGTTTGATCTGGGGGACCCGAGGGATGGCTGATGGTAGTTGGGAGTTAATGTCTCCAGGTTACTGAAGAACCCTGGAATGGACCATGAGGTAATGCTAAGGGACCATTGTGCCTGGTCCTCGGGGTCTTACCAGTGGTCCGCAATCTCTTCTGCATCCCCCTTCACCATTGAGACCCGGTGCCTCATCTTTGATAAATCCTTTTGGAAAGTTGAGGTAAGAATAAAAGAGTGGAACTTCTGGATACCCCGTTCTTCTTGGCGCCTATGATGTGGTGTGAAGGAGGGGGAGAGAAATTAGAGGCACAGAACGCCCCCCCTCCTCTAGCTACGGGTGAGCTCTCACAGATGCCACCCACCACTTTTTCTTCTATGGAGCTCTTGTTGCGCTGTTAATTATGACTGGGCTCTCTGGACCATAGCTCTCTCCAACGTGCTGAAAGTGATCTTGCCGCCGACAATTAAATTCTGTGTGCAGAGCACTGAGCGTACTGCCAGGCACACAGTAGGTGCTAAACTCATGTTGGTTGTTCTCTTCCTCAGTCTCATCGTTTTGCACACTCGCCCTCTCTCCAAAGAGAGTTCATGTTGTGATTATGTCCACGCCTAATGCCCCATGCCCAGCACCAACGCTTTGCATCTCACTTAGAATAAAGAACTTAGAACAACTCATTCCTTAAGGTCCCAGATTACCCCGTTTCTATGCTTTCCAACTGCATTATCACGCCTAGAATTGTATGCCTCTTCCTCACAATCAGAGTCTTTGGGACAAAGTGTGATCTCCACACTAGGAGGTAGTAGCTTTGTGATCTGGACTCTGTCTAGCACTCTGATCTCCTCTCAAGCATCACGAGAGCCCGCCACAGCGGACACTTGGCAATTCCTTTCCTACCCTCTGGGACTTTGCTTTTTCTTGGAGTTCCTCCCCTTCTTAATTTCCTAGCCAGATTCTCTGGGTTTGGGTTCCAGCTTTATTGTATTGTGTACAAGGCCTTTGGTATGAGACCTCTCTGAGTGTACTTGGGGCATCTGTAGGGGGTCTAAATAAAGCCCTTACCTGTGGGGTTGTTGGGCACCATAAATGTTGCATAACTGCAAAGCTCTTAGCTCAGCGGTGGAGCCTAACATGGTACCCTGGAGTTGGCACTGCCCTTCATTATCCCGAGAATGTCTCCTTCATGCAGATGTTCAGGTGACTTTCCCAGGTCAGGAGGGATACCTGCTCCCTGTGTTCCCTTAGCCCTCTGCTCTTCCCCATCATTGCTGGCCCTCACTGACCTGTGTGGTAGATTCTTGTGTACTCACCTGTCTCTCTAGATGGTGAGCTCTGAGCAGGAAAGGGAGTTTAGAGGGTCACCTGGAAGCCCTGCTGGGATGGGTGAGTTCCCTGGGGCACGTGGTCACCTTAGTTAGGGGATGGGCTGTAGTAGGGGGAAGAGGCTCCTGGTGGCCTCTTCATGTTGAACCACACTGACAGCATCCTGTGTGTCACGTGGGTGTCACTGCCACTTGCTCCTATCCGAGTCCCCAGGTACCTCCACCAGGAACCCTTCTCTTCCTAGTTTCTTCTCTTCTGGGTTCCTCTGCTCCCTTCATGGTCATCCTAAAGCCACCTCCTCAGAGAAGACTTCCCTGATTGCCCAACCTGAATTGGGATCCACCCGCTTCACTTCACCCTCCTCCTCTCCTGCTTCTCCCCTCCCCTGCCTCTTCCTCTTCCTCCTCACCCCCTCTGGATTCTCCCTCCCTCTTTCTCCTGCTGTTTCCCTCCTCCCTTCCTTCCATTCTCCTCTGACATAACACCGGTTTTCTTCCCACATGAGATGATTCTAAATTGTGTCTCTCTGTAGACACAGTGATTTTGTTTCTGTTTCTCAAGGGGCAGAGTGAGCTCCCCCACTCCAAGGGCAGGGAAGATGTCTCCCTTTGTTACTACTCTAGCCCTAGCCCTGGACACATCCTGAACATGCAGTAGGTAGCCAGGTACATGTCCTGGCAATGAGCCAGGCATGTGTGTGCCCTTACTTCATGAGGATCTCCAGCTTGTCTTGTAGGCAGAAGCCGGCCTCCTGGGCTACGCTGTAAAACTTGGCCCGCAGAGTGCTACACACTCCACTCTTGCAATGGACGATGTCACGGTTAGCACGGCTGTTGACAAGAGAAACCATTGGGGGATGGGGTCCAATGGACACTCCTGGTAGCCTCATGGGTCCCACTGGCCTCCCTGAGCCCAAGATGCCCCAAAGTGGGAACTGCTAGTGTCTAACTGGGCTCTCTGTTTTTGGGTGGAGCCTCCCCCGGCATCCCTTTTGGAGGTTGGAAGAACAGGTGGTAGGTAGCTCATGAGCCACAGTGAAGGGGCTTCCACTGGATCCCAGCAAATGTCAAGGATAGTGAGCCTCCAACTTCAGCTTCACCCTTTCGCAGCTGTGTGGCCCTGATTGGGACATTGCTTGTGGCCGACTCTCAGCCTGTGACTCTGTAAAATGAGACAACACTCCTGCCTGGCAGGGTTGGACTTGGGAAATAAACAAGGTCAGGAATGTAGGGTGCAGCCCATGGTGCTTGGTGCTGCAGAAGGATTTCGTGTTTTATTCCGCAGGGCTGCCCACTGTCTGGTGTGTGGGACCCTTGTCCCTCTTTCCTGTGTATGGCTTCGGGGAGTCTGGTCTGCACTGAGCTTTTCCCATACCCCTGGGAGACAAAGGATGCGGTTACCATGGTGAGGCCTGCCTCTTGACCATGATGTCTACTTCCCCGACTGGCTTACCCTTTTGACTTCTTCTGGGTCACCACGGTGTGGCTTTCTCCGCTTGTAGTGCTGGATCTCTCACTGAAACACCAAGGGATAATTTCTAGTTGTTTTTCATACGAGGTCCCTCTGAGCGTCACCCCCCCGGCCCCCACCTGTGCTAGTCCCCCAGAATTCAGGCACAGAGGAGACTTTTCCCCGGGCCCCAGGGCTCAGTGCACGTCATCTCCAAGCCCGGGCCTTTCTCCTGTCCTGCTTTCTACCTGGAGTATCCCCCTTGTCCCTCTCCCACCATCTCTACTGTCTTTTGTCTCATGGTCCGCAGTGAGTCCTGCATAGTGTCGGGATCACGTGCTATCTTCAGTAGGGACAGGTGCATGCTGGGAAGGGGATGGCCAAGTCTTCCTCCCCGTGTTACATTTGATGCTGTCATTTCCTAAGCCGGGTCCCTGCGATGGCTAAGCTTGGCTGTCAACTTGACTGGAAGTAACTAAAAGTCCATGCGGCTGGGCACACTCGTGAGGGATTTCTCCTGATCATATCACTTAAGGTGGGAAGACCCACACTACATCTTGATCATCTGAGGTGGGCCACACCTTCTGGTGCCATCACACGTGGAAGGAAAGGGAAGAAGGGCGCTTGCCCTCACTCTCGCTGGCAAGTCTGTCTGTCCTGCTGCTGAGGCATTCCTTGGCTGCTGTCAGGACCCACTTCTCCAGGATTCCAGCACACATCCAGCCCCCTAGACTGAACAAGTGCTAGGATTCTTGGCCTTTCCTTAGGGAGACAGCTGTTGCCGGACTAGCCGGGCCCCAGCCTTAAGCCGTTCTTGCTGTGGGATGGTCTGTATGTCAAATGTGTTGCTGATTGGTCAATGAATAAATCACTGATTGGTCAGTGGCCAGATCCGTTCTGTTCCTAGAGAACTCTAATACACCCCTCAACTGAAGACCCAGGCGCCTCCATTGAGAGTCCAGAGTCTAGATTCAGAGTCCAGCCTGGTTGTCACACCTCCTCTGGACCACTCAACTTATAACATCCTTGGACTCTTTCTAGGTGTAACCCAATTAGATTCTTTGTACGGCTGTTCTACCCTGTGTTTCTAGCTAGGCCAACTTCCACGACTAGATTATCATTCTAGATAAGATCCAACACTCCCTGCTGCCTTTCTGCCTTCTTCCCAGGACACTTGAATATCACTGTGTGTGTGTGTGTGTGTGTGTGTGCGCGTGTGCGTGTGCGTGTGCATGTGCGTGTGCGTGTGTGTGTGTGTGCGCACTCGTGTGGGCATGTGCCTGTGCATGCGTGTGTATGTGCATGTGTACACAAGTGTGTGTGTGTGTGTGTGTGTGTGTGTGCATGTGTGCACAAGTGTGTGTATGTGTGTTACAGATACATGCTGCCACACCCCACTTTTAATGTGGGTCCTGGGGATTCAGACTCAGGTCTTCATGCTTGCATAACAGCACTTTTTACCATGTCCCCATCCCTGAGCACCATTTTTGAGACAGGGTCTTACTATGTCACTCTGACTGGCTTAGACTCCCTATGTAGACCAGGCTACCTTGAGCTCACAGATGCTTGCCCACCTCTACTTCCTGAGCATTGGGATCAAAGGTGTGGATCAGCCACACCTGGCACACTGAGACATTTCATTAGTGCTGCTTTACATCCCTGTCTCCCCCGTTTCTCCCAAATAACCCAACAGCAGACTTGGCCACTTTCTCTGTGGGATCTGGGGGCAAGGCTGTCCTGCTGTTCCTATGATGGTTGGCTTACTTCCTTTCCAGCTTCACAGCTTTGGTGACTTTTGGGAGGTTGACTTGGCCATCTCTCAGGCCCTGGCATTTGCTGCTTTTTCTAGAAACTTCTGGGATTGGACCTGAGGGTTTTGGGTCTTGGAGGTGATGGGAAGTGTGTTATCCCACCTGGAGAGGACGCAGGGTCTCAGTAATAATATACAGGTAGACAGGACTAGATTCCAACCAGCTGCCCTGACCCCTGCAGATGAATCATGAGGAGACCATGCTGGTTCAGCTTTCTCCTGTAGACTGCTGTCTCCTCAGAGAGGAGGTGGGAGGTGAGGGATGCGGTGTCATCAGTTGGTGATGGGCAGACAAATGAGCTACAAAGCCCCCTTTGTCTTCCTCAGCCTCCCCTGTCCTGGTCCTCACAGAGGTCTTTGCTCAGTGCCTCCAAGCTCAGGCCCTTGGCATGAGCTGTTCCCTCTGCTTGAACCCCGTTCCTAGATTTTTCTCCCCACAGGGAGGCTGGCTTGTCTTTGTTCTGTAGATCTCAGCTGAAATACTGTACCCTGCCCAGGTTAGAGCCTTGCTGGCAAGCATACTCCCATCCCTCCATCCGTTTTCTCCAGAGGACTTTTCATAGCCATGATTGTATGACCAACCATGGGGTTAACCGAGGAACGCTTACTACATTATCAATTATCAAAAATGGGGAGAATTCAGGAGGCCCATGGAGGCAGACAGAGAAAAAAAATTATCTCTATTTTAACTAGTCTTTAACTGAGATGGAAACAGTGGACATTTGCATATCACGTGACAGTTGTGGGAGTGAGTCTCAAGAATCATTGACACTCAATGCTAACCCAAAGTCACAGTGTTTGTTAGCCCTACCGTGAGGTCTTACTCTGTAATGCGTCATTAAGCTCCTAGAAGATTATACTTCAAATTGGGAAGTAACCCAGTAACTTATTACCGTAGATGACGTCAGAATCCTCGTAATTTATCACATGCATTTATAACATCCTTCTGAAAGGCATCCATGGACTTCCTTGGACTATCTAAGGGCCCAACGCACAAGGATGTTCCAGTCAAATGAATGGGTGCCCTGTGTATTTGTTTCATTTGCTTATCACAGCTTCCAGACCTGGCACAGCTCCTGGCCCTCAGAGGGGACCTTGGAAGAATCAGGGGACCAACTCCATGTCATGAGACAGACTACTCAAAGGGGAGGAGTGAAGTTAATTCAGAGTAAAGTCCTCCAGGCTCGGGCATATGTGCCCCACAGTATCACCCGGCAGATCACAAACAGGCAAAATGGAATTGGATTTTACAATAGAAGAGAAGGGGGGTCCTATGCCATGCTCTCCCAACTGTGTTTCTTCATGGAGGGAAGAGTTTAGCGAAAAGCATGCAATATAAATGTTGAGGAGAAGTGTCTGGGTACTGGCTGCCAGCCCAGCAGCAAATGGAGCTTGTTTTCAGTGATGTCAAAAGAAGGGAGAGATGCCCCTCCCAGGCCTTCTCCCCTCAGTATCTCTGTGGTGGCTCTGGGCCAGGGCCAGCTTCTCCGCCTCTCCACCCCGCATCTACCTGCTATAGGCTTCAGAATTTCTTACCTGGACTTGTGGGTGGTCTGCCACTCCTTAATCGCAGAATCGCTCTTGGCTTGCTTGACTATAGACATGAGGCTGCAAAGCAAGAGGAGTCTCTTGTAACAAAGTGTCAGATGCCAGGTGCCCCTCCGGCAGCAGGTGTCTATGCTGGGACCAGTTGCCTCCCCCCAGAGTGAGCTACAGAACTGCAGTAGAGGGAGTCAACTGGGGAGTCTGCTGAGAACACTGATTCTGGCCACATGTTCAGAGACTTGGCTGTGCTGGGCTAAGTTGTGCTCAGAAACTGCATTTGGAACCCCCCACTTTTTCAGAATCACACACACGGACAAACACCAGGATGATCTACCTCCTCTGGAGAACTGCAGAACCCCAGAATCACACATAGATACTATAGAATTGCACCTAACTCAGAAACTCACAATTTAATTACACACACACACACACACACACACACACACACACACACACACACAATTATATAGACATTTTTGGAATTAAAAATACACCTAGAGCCGGGCGGTGGTGGCACATGCCTTTAATCCCAGGATTCGGGAGGCAGAGGCAGGTGGATCTCTGTGAGTTTGAGGCCAGCCTGGTCTACAGAGCAAGATCCAGGACAGGCACCAAAACTACACGGAGAAACCCTGTCTCAAAAGAAAAGGAAAAAGAAAAAAAAGAAAAAGAAAAAAATACACCTAGAATTTCACCTATACAACAATAATGACATACACATACAAATGGGGAATTAGGAATTCCACACTCACCTAGAATGACATCCTTATCTAGAGTTCCAGATTCATCTAAATTTTACACCTCTAGAATTACAGTACTCCTAGGATTACCCCTCCCCCATCAGATTCCACACAGAAACCCAGAACTTCATGCTCCATGGAAGTCTACACACAGCAGTTGTTTCTCAGACTCTGAGACAGTGCCCACTTGAGGTGCTTACTAGACGCCAGGGCTGCTCTGGAGGTTCTGCCTCAGTGGGTCTGAGATGAGGTCTAGACACTGACCTCTTCACAAACACGCCAGTTCTCATCCCCAGCATCCTGTCTGAAGCATTACTACATTTCACAGAGGAGCCATCTTCCTGCAGCCTTGAGGCTGAGGGTTGGCTGGGTTGGGTTTCAGAGGCCTCCATCAACCTCTCAGCCTGTCAGCTGACCTCAGTGTGAGCTGGCGTGGTGTGTGGAATGAGGGAAGTTAGCACTTTCCTGTCCCCATTGGTCTCACATAAGCTTCAGTATCCGATGTTCTACCGAACTGGGGAGATTTCATTTTTCCTAGAAAGAATTAACGAGGAAGGGAGATTTCTGCAGTTTCTCTGTAACTATGGTTATCACTAAATTGAATGCAGAGCTCACACGTGACAGGGTTCCCCAGAGCCATAGGCTTTAGAAACCATATGGAAGCCATCATGGATGTTCTCCATCTGTGAGGTGGGCTGTGCTGCTTGCTCGGTAGTTTTTTTTTTTTTTTTTTTTTTTTTTGTCAACTTGACAGAGCTTAGAGCATTTGGGAAGAAAATCCCTCCACAAGATTGGCCTGTTGGCATGTCTGAAGGGAATTTTATTGATTAATGACTGATGTGGGAGAGAGCAAGCCCATTGCGGGTGGTGCCATCCCCTAGGCAGATGGTCCTGGGTTCTATAAGAAAGCGAAGCAAGCAAGCCATGGGGAGCAAGCCAGTAAGCAGCGTTCTTCCTTGGCCTCTTCTTCAGTTCCTGCCTCCAGGTTCCTGCCCTGACTTCTCTCTGTGCTGGGCTGTGTGGGCTGGAGTTGTAAGCTGAGATGAACCCCTTTCCTCCCCAACCTGATTTTGGTCAACGTTTCACCGCAGCAACGGAAAGTGAACTAGAACCGGTGACAGCGGTGACAGTGGATGCACCTGTCTCAGCAAGGTGCTGTGATAAAGTCACGACTGCCCCCACCACTACCCTGTTGGTTGCTGACTGTATGCGGGGAAGGAGCTGGCATGTAAGTAAATGTGCTATATTCCTAAATGCTCTAAGGACTCATTGAGAGAGCCATAGCTTCCAGAAAATTCCTAGGACTTTACAAGAACAGGATGGCTTAATTCTCATTATAACCATTTTGGGTAAGTTGCTAAGGTGCTTCGTTTGACAGGATTGCAACAAGACTGGGTGAAGCAATGTGCCCAGTATCACACAGAAATCGAGTGATGGGATGGAGATGCTCCCTAGTCTGTTAGGTTCCAATGCTGTGCCATGGTGCTTCACGATCTCATTTCGACAGATGCTTAGGGAGGACAGAGACATCTGTCCTCAGCTCCAGGCTTTGCATCCCTGTCCACTTGACTCAAGCTGTGAGCCTCTAAGTTTGTCACCTTTCTCTGTCACTAATGCTGACCAGGCAAGCGCCTCATGGGTCAACAAGGTCTCAAAATTCCTCCAAGTGCCACCTGAGGCGGTGGGTTTGAGTTGAGGCTGCAGCGGACAGATTCATCATTAACAGACAGAAGTGGGGTGTGATGTATTCGAAAACATTGGGAGAAGGGTAATTACAGCACTAACAATAACCAATAAGTCATAGCTGGCGTCCCAGTAGGCCGAGACTCATGATAAACCTCTTCGTGGGCTTCATTTATTTTCTGTAAGTAATTTGCTTGCTCGGAGGAATTTTTACTTGAGAGGGGAACTCTACTCTATTCTGCGTTCTCTCTGGAGCAGTTATAGAGGCCACAAGTCCATGGGCAGGGCTTCTCACCAGAAGACAGACAACTCAGGTTTAAGTTCAACACTACTCTCTTATAAGCCAGTCATTCTGGTAGCTGCTTGGAGCATCCAAGGATGCCCACGCTTTTAGGGTAAGACTACAAATCCTCCAGGTGAGGGCTTTGAAATCCCTCACCAATGTATGCTTTTCTCTGTCCCATTTTGGCTATGCCCTGCTCCCTGATGGTGCTGTGGTCTCCTTCTGTGACTGCACATGACTGCCTGAATATTCTCCCCCACCCCCACCCCCATGTGTCCATCACCTTTGACAGGCAGGCCTTCCCCCCCACACCTCATCTCAAATATCAGCTTAAAAGTTTATTCCAAAGAAAGAAGAAACTCTCATGACCATTACTGACTAGACCAATGATCCTTTCTGAGATAGGGTCTTGATATGTAGCCCAGGCTGGCCTCGAACTTAAGGTCTTCCCACCTCACTTCCCTGAGTAATGAGATTATAGGCGTGTGCCACCATGCTTATTGTTTTTATGTTTCTCTGCCTTTTTTTTCTGCAGTGCTGGGGATGGAGCTCGAGGCTTTGCACACACTAGACAAACTTTCTACTGCTGAGCTATCTGTAAACACAAAACTCCTACTTTCTCATCTTTGACTTATTTTTGGCAACTCCATGCCTGGAAACAATGTACCTTGCCAATATTCACCCCAACTCACTCCTCCTAACCCCCCTACTGGACACCCTTCAACACATCTCCTTCCATTCCCCTGCCCCTCTCTCTCTAACACACTGAGTCCAATTCCTGCTGCCTGCTGGAATATTACTGATCCTGATGACTTGATCTTTTTTTTTTTTTTTTTTTGGTTTTTCCCAGACAGGATTTCTCTGTGTAGTTTTGGTGCCTGTCCTGGATCTCGCTCTGTAGACCAGGCTGGCCTCAAACTCACAGAGATCAACCTGCCTCTGCCTCCCGAGTGCTGGGATTAAAGGCGAGTGCCACTGCTGCCCGGTGCGATGACTTGATCTTGTTCAGATCTTATGCATGTCCCCATAGCTGCAGTATGTTTGTGAAAGCAATAGCCATGCCATATCCTGAGGACAGCATTCCAGGGCACCCCTTACCACCCTCCAGCTGTTACATTCTTTCCAACCCCTCTTTTGCAATGTTCCACGACCCTTGTGGGGTGTTGATAGACATGTCTCATTTAGCCTCGAGCAATCCAAAATACAGTCACTTGTGCTCGTCACTTTGACCAGCTCTGAGCCTCGTAATGAACTACTGCCCCCTGCTTCTCTGGCCGACATTGACAGCAGCATTATGTTATATAAAGACCCTAGTTTTTTAAATCTTAAGTTTCCAAGTTCTCCCTCGAGCACATCGTTTATAACAGCCCACAGGGTCCCGGACAGACAGAGTGGTGGCATGTCAAGAAGTTAGAAAGATCTAGATTTAAGTAATTTGAGTCACCATCCACCAGCTGTGTAGCCGTTAGCAAGTCATTTAGCCTCTCTGCCCCTTGCTTGTAAAGTAGTAAAGTGGTAGCTTCCACCTCTAGGGGTTGCTGTGAGAATCCAAGGTGCAAAGCACACATGCAAAGCACACAGCTCAGTGTTTGGGTCGACAGTTGGTGACGGCCGTTGGGGCTGTCGTGGCTACTTGACTGACATCCGTGGACTGCCCAAGGAATTGAAGGAACACACCTGGGAGCTGTCTTCTGCACATTGTCCACCATGCTCATGACTGTTCTTCGGGCGTCTTCCCGGACCATCTCCAGGAGCTTCTGCAGGTCTGATGGAAACAGGAGACAGGACGGTGCATGAACCCCATGCCCAGCCTCTGGGAGTTGGGGAGGGGGGCAGATGGTGCAGTTCACAGGGTCTGTCAGCTACACATCTGACTCTGTCACTCCTTTAAAATTAATTTATTGTTTGCATGTGGCATACCTTCTCTCTCTCTCTCTTTCTCTCTCTCTCTTTCTGTGTGTGTGTGTGTGTGTGTGTGTGTGTGTGTGTGTGTGTGTGTGTGTGAGACAAGAGTCTGTTACTGAACCTGGAGTTCACTGACTGACTAGACTGCCTGGCCACCAAAGCCCTAGGGATCCTCCTGTCTCTCCCTGCTGGGCACTGAGAATGCTGGCAGGCACCCCACACTTGGCTCTTTATGTGCGTGAGAGGACTTAGTTGATAGCCTCACGCTTGCACTGCAAGCAGTTTCTGACTGAGTCATCTTTCCAGCCCCCTTAAGGATCTGCAACTCTGCTTCACCCAGACAGAACTGCCTCGGATCCTGATAGGAAATTTTGTTTGCGAAACCCTAACTGATTATTTTCCAAACTGGTGATTTCCAGCCTGAATCCAGATCACAATTGTATTTTTCTCAATCCGAGGAGAGTGCCAGCCTTTGGAAACTAAGTTTTTGCATCAACAATCAGACCCCCACTTCTTTTGTAAAGAATCTAAGACATGACCTCATTATCCTCATTTCTGCCTCCCATCGACTGATATTTTTTTTCAGACAGGCTTGTGATTTCCACCTCCTTCACCATACCAGTTGACCTTTGTCATGCTTTTGAAGTGTGTTGAAGGCTTGGGTTCATGGTGCTGTTGAGAACGAAGGCCTGAGTCATGAGGGTGCGAACTTGGCCGGTGTGCTGATCCAATGGTGAGCTGATTCTAAATGAGCTACTAGGAGGCAGGATGTAGCCAGAGGAAATAGGTTAGTGGGGACATATATTTTACAGGACTCCCCCTTGGTCCAGCCCCCTCCTTTCTGCTCACTGGGCTCCCTGCCACTTTGAGGTGGGAACCTCTGAGTGATGCTCTCCCCCGCCATGTTCCTGAAACGATGATGCCATTGGCCAGGAAATGAAATACCTGAGGTACAACAAGTCTTTCCTCTCTCAAGCGATTCCCTAGGTGTTTTAGTGATGGAAAGTGATGAAAGCAACTTTTATTTTCTCACTTAACATGTTCTGTTACACTTACTGTTTGAATATTTCTTGAGGCCTGGACACCATGACTTGAATCTTGTCTCCTAGTCTCCAAGGCTTCAGAATGTGATGTTAATTGGAAGCAGTTATGGTGATTGTGCTGGGTGAAGATGAGGTTACACTGTAGTGTAGTGGTGGTGGGCTCTTATTCTAGTCTATGACTGCTGCCCTTGTAATGGGAGAGGGGCACATCCAAGGAGAGCATGGCCATGTGGTGACAGAGGCAGACACGAGTGGTGTGTCTATGAGCAGAAGGATGCCAAGCCTTCCCAGCGTCTACCAGCTTGAGAAGGCTAGAGAAAGGAAGGTGTCACCACGTCACCGACACCATGGTTTTGGAGGTCAGGTGCCCACGACGTTGAGGCAAGACATTATTGTGTAGCCCTAGGAAGCTAATATACCTAAAAGTTAGAAAATGAAATACAGAGTGAGCTGTGTGTTTCACAAAAGACAAGTAAGTGAGCAGCAGTGTTTGGCAAGGACACACATTTGCCATGTCCCCACCCCTCACTCTTTCCCACTCCAATCTGGGACCTGCTTGGTAACAGAACCATTGGAAACAGCCTTCTCCAGAACCGCGTAGCTGTCCAAGGTGCTGAGTCATCACTGGGCGACGCAGTCACTTGGCAACTGTCCAGGGCTTCATTCATGATGGACAAGCAGTCTACCAACTAAACTACATCTCTATCCTCTTTTATTAGAGATATAACCTTACATTTTCTGTATAGCTGGGAAATATCAGCGATGTTGAGCTGTCTCAGAACAGCCCGTGGGGCTGACGTCAATTTCATGTAGTTTTGAGGCTGGGAAACTAGTAGGCCTTTGTCAAGGCTGTGACAAACAGGGTGGAGGTGAGGATGCTAATAAGAGGAAAGAGTAGAGCAGCTGAAGAACGGCTCCCCCGTCAGAGACACATCTCTGGTGGAGATACTTCTCAGACATTGCTGAACGCCAGTGTGTGTCAGGCTGAAGGTGTGGACCAATAGACCCAGGTGGGCAGGAGTCTCATCTCCCTTCCCCTTCACTCTCTAGTCTTAGGAAATTTTATTCTTTTTTCCATCTGAAAGGGTAGCATTTTCCCAGCATCCTTTGCAGTTGAGTGTAGCGCTATGACTGAGTTCTAGAGGTTTTAATTCTCTCTCTCTCTCTGTCTGTCTGTCTCTGTCTCTCTTTCTTCTTCTTCTTCTTCTTCTTCTTCTTCTTCTTCTTCTTCTTCTTCTTCTTCTTCTTCTTCTTCTTCTTCTTCTTCTTCCTCTTCCTCTTCTTCCTCTTCTTCCTTCTCTCTCTCTCCTTGTGTGTATGTATGTGGAGGTCAGAGGAAAATCAGCTCTCCTTCCACCCTTCGGGCCCTGGGCATCCGACTCAGGTCATCAGACTTGATGTCAGGTACCTTCCCCTGCTCACTCATTTGCCTGCCTGACGATGGGATTTTAGAAGCGCCGTGGACCTGTTGAGAAGGTTGCTTATACACACCCAGGTGTGGGCACTTTCCTTCCTTGTCTACTGCCTTCTGCTTCAAGCCTAGGACATGGGTGATGGCTCGAGCTCTGTCAGCCATTCTGGACCATGAAATGATATTGAGGTTGGCCAACTAAAAGGACGGGATAAAGCAGGTGTGGGATGAACTTTTGAAAGTCATTTTACCCATCCTCCATTCGTCTTCTTAATCTGTAGGAAAATGTAAACTCTGATCTTTTTAAAGTCACTGTTTTCAGGCCTCTGTGTCACCTGAAAGAAGTCCCTCTTTGATACCGCGAGATGAAAACAGTAAACGAAAACCAAGTTCCCGGTAAGACCTGATATTAAGAGACTTGAAAAGAGAGAACCCAGGTGGGTCAGGTAAGGCTTCACAAGAGAGGATGCATTTGAATTGGGGCTTGAAGATCAAGGAAGCATCTGCCAGCCCCAGATGTCAGGGGTAAAGGAAGTCTGTAGGATGGTGCTTTGAGCAGACGAAAGTCTGCTGGTGAGGTTGGGCTGCTGAAGATGTGACGCAGCCAATGCTAAGCCAGATAGAAGCATCCTGAATAAGAGGATGTCTTAGAGGCCACGGGCGCCACTGAAAAGATGCTGAACTGGTGGTGGCGGGGGTCACTGTATCCAGTATTTATCACAGAAAGTTCCCTCTGGATCAGTGTGTGGGGGCAGGGCAAGGAGCAGAGAGACTGCTAGAAAGCTGTCCAATGTTGACCCCTTCCTAGCCCCATGTCTTCAGGTCTCAGCTCAATGGTCAGAGGTGAGAGAGGCCTCTGTGGACCACCCTGGCTGATGGGAAGATTGAGCCCTGTGACTGAGCTCAGCACCCACTGCCATTGTCCCCCTTTTCACCTGTGACCTTCGTCATCCTGCTGCTCGTAGCATCCTTGTTTACCACCTTCCTTGTTTTCCTCCTTCAATGCACTATCCCCTCCTTCCTTCCACATCCCAGGTGCATAACACAAGGCACTGAAGGAAGAAGCTTCCAGAAATTCAGAGGAATCAATCTCTGACTCTCTTTCTGTCCAGAGAGTGACTTTGAGAGCTCCGGGTCTTCCTTGGGCCCTTGTTGACAGGTCCTGACTCCTTCTTGCACGTCTGGAGGTTTGCACACTTTTGGCTCAGATAAGCCAAGACCCTAGGTCCACTCTGACCTCCTTGAATCTCAGCAGCACCCAGTCTTTGCCGGTTCTTCCCAGGTCAGCCCTGGTTCAGATGCTGGACTTCACCTTGCACCGGTTTGAGACAGGATCGCTGTCACTTTCCTACTGTGTGTGTGTGTGAGGCTAGCTGGCCCAGGAGCTCCCAGGAATTCTTGCCTTGGTCTCCTGTCTCTCTGTGGGGATGCTGGGATTGCAGCATCTGGCTTTTGTATGGCTCTGGGGATTTGAACTCAGATCCTAGTGCTTGCAGGGATGGTACTTTCACCCACTGAGGCCTGGCTACACATCTGATTTAATTATACTTGCTCAATGCAGGAAATTCTGAGAGAATATTTGGCATGATTTGTGGAATCCAGTTGCAAGTTTCTCTTCCTGAGGTCGGAGGGCTCCCTACCCTTGGATGGTATTCATGGTTTTGGATTTCTTGCTTAAATAAAGACTCAATAGCTTTCAGTAGACTCCTAAGGAGTCTAAATTGAATTATGAATTACTAAAGATGACAGATAGGAGAAAACACACATCTCTGTATAGAAAAGTAGGTTTGTGGCCCCTCAGGTTCAGACTGGGGAGGGACAGGGACAATGGATGGGCATGTCTTCTGATGGGTTGATGGAAACATTTTAAAGTCAGATTGTGACAATGGATACACAGATCTGTGCTCTGTCAACTTCATAAAATTCTTGGCTCGTACATTTTACAATGTATGGTTAAAACGAGTGGGTGTGGTGGTACACATAAACCTTTAATCCAGCCTCCAGGAGACTGAGGCAGGAGGATTGTGACTCACAGGACATCTTGGGCTATATAAGCATGTGTTGTATCTCTCATATACACGAGAATAGCCCAAAACCAAGCAAAAACCAACACATCTATAAATCTAAGGAAAAACCAGGCACTGAATTTGAAGAATGTGGGAAAATAAGGTAGAAACATCTCAATCATAACTTCTGTATTTATGGAATGTGGAAAGGATAAAATTCTATGGAAAATGAGATACATAAAAACACATTTTAAAGTGTTATGAAGGTACATGGTGATGGTGGCTGTGTCCCTGTGGGGGATGACTCAGAGTGACACAGCTCACAGAGACTATTTTCAGCCTTTTTTGGAGGGAAGAGCTTTCAAGGAAAGGGACCTAAAGACATTGAACTAGGCAGGTGGTGGAGAACTTTGACCTCTGTGTCTCTGCTGGAAGGGCTGGAGGTGAGGCAGGAGAGACTCAAAGACTGCAAATGTAAAGGCGGACAGTGGTGGGATCTTGGGTAGGACTTACTGGTGTGGAGGTTAAGGAGGGTCTCCTCATCATGCTTAGTGGACCATGACTCGGTATCTTCGATGTCTTTGCTGCCGGTGGCTACACTTGGGGGCTCATCAGAGCCGGGGTTCACAGAAATCATGCTGCTCTGGGGAGAAGAACCCCCACTGGTCCGAGTCAGACTCAGGGTGGAGCCCCGCCGGCTGGGTTTGCGGCTGGCACGAATGGCAGGGATTTTGAATTTCTTGGTCTGAGGGGAAGCGGGAGAAAGGAGGGATGTCAGAGAGGGTGGATGAAGAAAGGAAGGGGGAGGGGAAGAGAGGAGGGGGGGAGGAAGGGAGGAGGGAAGGAAAAAGGAAGTGGTATTTCTAATCCCTGCGGAGGTCCAGGTGAGGGGTCAAAGGACACTCAGTTCCTCCTGGCTCCTTGTAAACACCACGGACACATGCTGGGCCTGGAGTGACCGGTCGCCACCAACCAAGGTGATCAGAAGACATTCCTTTCTCTGTGTGTCACTGGAAGTGCCCTTGGCCCTGTAGGGAGGATTCTTTATGCCACCTAAAATGCCATGCTGATGGTAGAGGTGTGAGAGAGCTCAGGGCAGGCTGGGCTGCAATTCAGTAACCCAACAGAGATGATTATATTTGAAATTTCATGTGTGTGAGTGTGTGTGTGTGTGTGTGTGTGTGTGTGTGTGTGTGTGTGTGTGTGTGTGTGTGTCTGCTCGTGTGAATGTATGTCTGTTAGTGAAAGAAGAGAAGGGAGGAAGACATCATGTGCCCTGCTCCATCATTCTCCACCTCATTCCCTTGAGGCAGGGTCTCTCACTGATCCTGGAGCTATGCTGGTGGCCAGCAAGTCCCAGTGATCCTCCTGTCTCCACCACTCTCCCCACAGTGCTGGGGCCATAAGCCCATGTCACTTAGGTGGTGGGGATTCGAACTTGGGTCCTTATGCTTGTGTGACATGGCTTCTTACTCATGGAGCCGTCTCCCCACCCCAGACATAATTTTCCTTGAGCGCTTTCAAAATGAAAGTGCTTCAGAGATTCACACTGGTGTCATATTTGCATGAAACTTCTCTAATATTTAATGTCCTAGGAAGGAAGGTATCAGGGAGCATAGGGGACCCTGAAGGCCACACCAAGATTTAAGACCATGAAACTGGGTGGGGGAGACTTACACTCAGCGGGTTTGCTTCCAGGAACCAATTTCACTGAAGCAAAAGTGTTAGTAATGTTTTAGGGCCTTGAATATAGGCGGAACTATTCTGCATTACAAGTGGGGAGGGATTTCTCGGTTGCACGGAGAAAGGGAAAAGGTGCCGGAAGAGGAGAGGGGTAAGTCTTCGCCTCCCATTTCTTCCTTTGCTTTGCTCCCCTTCCCCAAGTTTTCTGGCAACATTTTGCACAAACAGAAGGCGGCTTCGACCTGCAAGAGGCTGGGGGACTGGAGTTGGGACTGGGTTTATCCAGCTCTCCAAGGCAGTGCCCAGGTTACAAAATGGTGGCGATGGGAGGATTCTACAGCGAGAGCTGACGTCAGGAGGCTTCCCTGGTCCCGACTTTGCAGCTTGGCCAAGAGCTTGTTAGCCTGACAGGACACTCCATGCCCCCTGGCCACCCTGTGACAGAGGATATCAGAGCTCAGGGACAGCACCTACATGCAGAGGTCACCCTTCCTGCTTCAGGAGCCACTTCTGAGTCCCTGGTGCTGGAGACAAGACTCTTCAGACCAACGCCATTGTTGAAGGTTTAACAGACTGTGTCTCAGGGCAACCTGGGGTCATGCAAGGAGCCCTGGACTCGGAGCCAAGGGACTAGATCACCCTGCCTCAGCTTCCTCATTTATAGAACAGAGGGGACGGACTGAGGTGTCCACAAAAGGACCTTTGTAACTGCCGTCCTCGGTGCACTTTCCCTGAGCTGGGATTTCATCTTGTGCTCCTAAAGTTGTCATTAATTAACATTCAATTAACCACCCCAGCCAGGGGACCCAAGTGAAGGGCTGACACTTCTGATTAATTGAGCGGGTTGGAAAGAAAATGTTGGGGGAGATGTGATGGGCTTCAGCATGTCATTTGCCCTTTATCGAACTGACTCTCCCTGACTGAAGTCCCCAGGTGCCTTTTCTGGCTTTCACAGTTTGCTCAGGAGTGATGTGACCCAGCTGCCATGTTCCGCCTCTGGAGGGACTAGATTTTTTTTTTTTTTTTTTTTTTTTTTTTAATGGAAGTTTCCCCTGAGTGAATCCTTATGCTTTCTAAGAAGCAGGAGTTGGATGTCATGGGGAGACATATTTAGCCACCCATGGGTTTTTTGTTTGTTTGTTTTGTTTTGTTTTTACAAATTTAGAGACTTTTATAGAAAAAAAAACCCTAAGTGTTTGGCTTTCGTTCAAAATAATAAAACCCTGCCTGCATGTGCTGATGTGAGTCTCTCAGCCTTCCCTTTGGCTGGGCTTCATTTTGCCACAGACTTCACCGCTCCCTGCTCCCTGTCGCGTTCCACGCAGCCTGATTTTTCCCATGGACAAGATTTCCCTCAGGAACATCAGCCTGCTGCTGCTGCTGATGCCTACACGTACCAAAAACCCAGTGGGGACTGTTGGCTAGGGTATCTTTCCAGATCTCCACTTTACAGAGGGGTAAACTGAGGTTGGGTGAGAAGAAAGGTCTTGTCCAAAGTCACAAAATGGAAGGAGCCAAAGTGGCTGCTGGCACCCCCGGAGTGGACGGTCCACACACTGGTGCCAGGGTGTGACCCACATGCTCTGCGGGACATTTGATGTGAGAATTCGACAGTAAGCTGTGTTGAACATTCCGGAAGGACACTTTTTTTTTTTTCTTCATCCCGAGGCTCATCGCTCCTGCTGCTTTGTGGGTCTCTAGAGACGGAGGCACGCAGTGTCTCCATAGCAACTTTGCGTGAGAAAACGAAGGCTCTTGCTCTTGGGGTCTTTGAGGATGCCGATGAAAGAGAGCGGGAAACAACGGAATGGGGAGGTGACTCTGAAGAACCTTGTGTTTAGCACAGGCCCAAGGTGAATGCTAGCCCAGCTCTGTGACCCCTGCAGGTCCCTTCACCTCTCCAAGCTCCAGCAACGCCTTCCCTACGGTTAAGAACAGTCTCCTGTGGGACATGGAGAAGGTATTACGGAGTAAGATTGAGAGAAATTGGTCCTTTGGTTAGTGTGCTGCGAAGGTCTTCTTAACACTTGCACATGTTGTGTGTGTGTGCACGCGCGCACGTGTGTGTGTGTGTGTGTGTGTGTGTGTGTGTGTGTGTGTGTGTGTGTGTCAGGGGACAAAATTGTTGGAGTTGGTTCTTTCCTTCCACCACGTAGGTCCCAAAGATCAAATCCAGGGCATACTCCTTACTTCTGAGTCTTCTTTCCCGCTCCCATTTTTACACTTTTCAGTGAATTTACACATCCTTTCCCAAGCTTCTCACTAACCATGTGGTAGGTGGGGTGGGCACCGTGTGGTAGGTGGGGTGGGCACCGTGTGGTAGGTGGGGTGGGCACCGTGTGGTAGGTGGGGTGGGTACCGTGGGGTAGGTGGGGTGGGTACCGTGGGGTAGGTGGGGTGGGCACTGTGGTAGGTGGGGTGGGCACCGTGTGGTATTGTATTGGTTCTGTGGGTGAGGGGCAGGAGCTGTCTGCACCCAGCTGCATGACTGAATACCCCATCGAAGAGCAGCCTTGTCTCTTTATTATCACTATTATTGGGGTGCTGCTTTGTTGAGTAGATGGACCTGGACTTTGGGGACAGGCATAGTTGGGTTGAAGATATAACAGACTTCAAAATGCCTTCTTAATAGTGAATATACATGTGGCTTGGAAGAATAGCCTGTCGAGTGAGTGGAGAGAGGGAGGGAGGGAGGAAGGGGAGGGGGGCTATTGATTAAAAGATAGAGTGAGGTGAGTCCATTTCCTTCTAGTCACATCTTACTAAGCAGGCGCTCATCCCCCCTTCCCTCTTTCCTCTTCCCAATGTGTCTGGCCAAATGTCATTTTTCCTATAATCCCCAGATAACCATTTTAATTAAAATTTACCAAAAAAAAAAAAAAAAATCCAGTGGCATGTGGTCTTTCCTTTGCTTGGGAAACCACCTAGACATACAGAAATAACCCTTTCCCAGCAGAGACTGGCTGTGGATGCATGTTCCTTTCTCTGGCTGGGGCCTGGGCTCTCAGGGTAGGGTGGGCTCCTGGTTACCTTGGGCGCTGTGACGAAGTGATCCCACCTCTGCCCCATGGACTTGTCCTTGTTAACCTTCTTAATGGTGCTCTTGCTGCCTCCTGGGTCCCTGCGTGAGCAACAGCTTAATGAGTTTTCAGTTTGCAGACTCTTGGTTTATTACAATCCCCCGCCCCATCCTAAAGAAACACAATAAATCCAGGATGAACAGTCTCTAGCATGATTTTTCTCTCCCTAAAGTCTTTTTTTGGGGGAGGGTTGAGGAGGGAAGTTCACCATAGGTGGGTTTTTTGGAGAAAAACACCCGAGGCTAAGAGAGGCCACCCTTTCCTATATTGTGGATTTATTTGCATTCTAGACTTGGATGCTTTTATGGAGTCCAGGGTGAGGTTACAGTTATGCTGGGGGTGGACAAAAAAAGTGTCTTCCTTTCTGCACCTGTGCCTTGTTCATTGATCACCGGCACCACCAGGGGGAGCACTTCTGAGTATCACAGAGGCAGTGAGACCCCCGGGAGGGTGGGTGTGGGCGTGGAGAGTGAAATCACTGGTTTTCAGCTTACTGACCAGAGATACTGGGATCTTCTGTGCCAGAGGCCTCTGGGCTCTCAGGGAATCACTCTCCATCACGGGTCACCTTGAGCCAGAGTCATTATCACCGCCCTCTGCAGCTGAGGAGAGGACCAGAGTTCCGGGCCTCTCCCTCACACAGGTCCCTACCATGGGGCCCTGCACATCGCTTACACTGTGATCTTGAACTATTTTTATTAGAGTGCCCTCCTCCTCCATGTAAGTAAGTTTCAGGACTTACAATATCATACCCTTCCCTCGTGGCCTGGGAACTTTCTGGATAAGAGACTAAAGCCCCAACAGGCTCTGTGGGTGATTTCCTGTCCCCCTCCCCCAACAGACATGTTACCAAATTTCTCATGCTGGCATTTTTGAATGGGATATGTTGCAGACACTGTGTATCACTATAACCCTTCCAATGGACCCAGGCAGACTCTTATAAACACATTAACACATCTGGAATAAAGTAGGTGGATACTTATACTCAGTGAAGGATTGGGGTTCCATGTCAAGTCTCAGTTTGGTTCATTTTAGTTCAAGTCCGATTTTTGTGGCCAAATGAGCTATGAAAAAGCTGAGTTTTTAGAGCCTTTAGATTTTGAATTTCATGGTTATGGGACCTTGGGTCTTTATTGATACACACATGAGGAATCTTACTGTGTGATATAACTTCTTATATGATCAATCAATTGGCTTATCAAATCCCTCTATCCTTTCATTCTCTATCCATCTGTCTGTCCATCTGTCTATCTATCTATCTATCTATCTATCTATCTATCTATCTATCTATCTACTGTCTACTTACCTTTCCATCCATCCATCCATCCATCCATCCATCCATCCATCCATCCATCCATCCAACCATCCACTCAACTATCTACCCAATCACACACCCATTCACCCTTCCCTCCAGCCACAGTTATCCATTCACAGAACCTTCCATCCACATTCCCATCCATTCATAAATTTCATTATCCATCCATCCATCCATCCCTCCACATATCCACTTCCTTTTTAATCCCCTTTTCTCTGAAGGATGAGTTTGGGTGTGTGAGACCCGTGAATTACTTGGCTGGCTCTCAACCTGTACAGATCAGGGATTTGAGGAGATAAAGTGATCAGGGCAACTTTGATAGGTGGAGGCCGGGCACTCACAGTGTCTAGGCTTGTCAGGGTATGTCCAAGTGATGGCTGTGGACCAAAGTATTCAGATACAGGGGACGGAAATGGTCAGATGGACTGGACTTAAGCCTGGCTTCTCATGATGTGAGGTTCTGAGTAGCAGATCCACAGGCTATCACCAGTGAGGAGCGGGGGCTCTTCTGCCCCTGAGGCAGGGCCTGTTGGGTGTCTAGCAATTCACAACCATAACACAAAGAAACAGACTCCAGGGTGGGAGCCAGGCTGGGGTGGGGGGTGGGGGTGGGATGTGGCGCCAAGCTTTTTGTAAAACTTCATGTTGATTACACAGTAAAAAGCTCTGAATAATTAACAGAGAACTTCATTGGAGTCGGTTCTGCTTGCTTGTCCCCTGAGTAATCAAATTAGGGAATATTTAAAGTCCAGCCAGAGGAAGGAGCAGAGCTCCAGTCTCCAGTGTTTAAATGGCGGCACTTCCGAAGCCTGATTTCAGGCTAAGCAACGGGCGGCTTTGGTGTTCCACGGTGTCTTTCATGACCACGGGGCTTTCGGCTTCCTCCTTTGCTAAGGCAGCCCCTGCTGAGCTGCCAGCGCCTTCTTGAAGTTCAAAAGCAACCTCCATCCCCTTTCAAAATTAAATCTGGGCCCAGACAAGCTTTCGAAATCTTAAATATTCAGGTCCAATCAGGAAGATAGAAGCCTTCCGCTAATGCCGGCTTCCAAGGCGACCTGAAGTCTATCGCAACTTCAAGCGGCAGGCTAAATGAACTAAAGACGCATCCAGATCCCTGCAGACCTCCGGAGGCCCTCCGCACTCCCTCTGCAAAGCTATTGATAAAGGAGAGGCCAGGTTAGGCAGAACCGGCCTCTCTGATGTTTCGTTCTCAGTAGCAAATAAACCCAAAGGGGAGATCAATAGGCGGGGAGGAAGGATCAAAAGCAGCCGGAGCAGGGAAGTCCACTCGGCACCCACCTCGCTGCAGAGGCTAAAAGCCAGTTGGCGAACCTTCCCTATTAGCGCTGTTCACCAAGTGGAACCCCACTTTCCCGCCCCCCCCCAAAGTCGGGTGCATCTCTGTGACTTGCTTTGTTAAAAAAAAAAAAATACAAGACCATAGAGTGGCAGGTGGCTCGTTGGGTGGATGCTTTGCCAGCCAGTCCTGAAGGCAGCAGGTTCCATGCTCTGCTGAAAATGGGAGTTTGGGTTACACAGAACCTCCGTCCACCTGGCTCCCTGCGTAGCTATAATGAGCAAGGTTCCGGTGTTGGGTGTGGAGGCTGAGCCAAAGGCCGGCTCAGAGGTGGGGAGGAGGAAGCGAAGAGTGCTCATTTAGCACATCTGACAGATCTGACCGAGGTCCCGGGACCTCACTCAGGTGACCGTCCGTCCTTGCATATCAGAGCCTGTTGTTCTGCTGGAGTCTGCCTGACCCAGCCTTCTGTGTGTGTGGTGTGTACAGGGTTATTTAGCTTCTCCCAGCCTCAGTCCCCGTCTGTACTATCAGTAAGATGGGCCTAAGGACATGAGCTGGGCCAATAGATTGCTGTGGGTGTGAAAAGAAATGGGTCTCAAATGGGTGAATCTGGGTCAGCTGTTAAAAAGAATAACACGCTTTCATCCACGGAGATCTTGGTGCGGTTTGAGAAGGGGCTGGCTCTGGTGGGAAGCGAGGTAGGGCCAGCAGCTCTCAAGGGGAGACAGCTATGATTTTCAGACCGTAATTTTCCCCCTGCTGATGCTTTCTGGGGCACCCGTTTCTCAGAAATCAAGGGGAGAGAGCACTGGGCACAGGCTCATCTCTTTAAACTGCATCCTCCCAGCAGATTTTGTTCTTGGAGGTCACTTGACAATGTCTATCCATCAGGGCAATCAGAGCGATTTTCTCAAACACTTTACTCTCACTTTCCCAACTCCAGTTCAGGGTAAAGTGTGCTCTTCTCAAGATGAACATCTTGTGGGTTCATTTAGGATGTGCACTGGACTCTGCGACTGAGGGGGAAGAGATGCTGATTCCACACCAGGGAGGCTGCCGTGGTCCAAGCTCTGGGAATCTTCCAGGCCAGGTAGTCCTGTCCTGCTCCTTCAGAAATAAGGTGACCTGATGAACGTGCTGTGTTCTTCCACTCCTGAGGTGTTGGCTTGAGTACCAGAGCAAGGAGGGATGCTGCTGTGTTGGTGGGAAGAGGAGAGTCAGGGGTAAATCAGGTATTTCACCCAGAATGCCCATCCTAAGAGCGTCTTCCTTGACGATCAAACTGAAAAGCAAGCCCTGCCCACTACTGTCATATCTCCCATCAGATGCCTCGCAATTGCGCTTGTTGCTATTGAAGATTTTTAAAACTTCCGTTTATTTTATGTCTATGAGGATTTTGCCTGCATATATGTCTGTGCACCACATGCATGCCTGGTTCCCACAGAGGTCAGGAGAAGGCATTGGATCCCCTGGAACTGGAGTTACAGATGGCTTTGAACCATGTCGGTGCTGGGAACCAAACTCTGGTCCTCTGCAAGAACAACAAGGGCTCTTCGTCTCTGCCATCCCTGTAGCCTTGAAGATTATCTTCATCTTTGCATGTTTACTATGGATTGTATCCTCCAGCCCCTTCCCTGGAATGGAAGCTCCAGCGGGCAGTGGTATGGCCCACTTCCTTTACTGTGATATTCCTATCAGTGGTTGCGAATGGTCCCACAGGACAAAAAGGGAACCCCATTTAAGTATAAAAATAGTTAGATTAGAAAATTGCTTATTGTGTGTGTTGTTCAGACTACTGATGCCTTTTTCACAGTGATGAAAACTTAGATCTTGGAAGTGTAGTTGTTGATGACCTCCGAGGCAGGGGCTCAAATGGGGAAGGGTTCTTTTTCTGTTAGGACAAAGAGCCCACGTTTGCACACATTCTGCGTTTGCAAAACTGCACATTCAGAGTGGCTTCCAAAACTATTTTGTAAGAGAAAACTTACTGTATATTTCAGGTTGGCTCAGACTCTGCAGGGCCATGTTCTGGAAGCCTGTCCCAAGTGGGCGATGCTGCTGTGGCTTCCGAGCCCTTAGGAGGGGGCTCTGCTGGTAGCAGGAGGTCACTAGCCCTGAGTGTCTGGACAAGTTAGGATTAGTGGGAGCTTGCTAGAATGCAGAGTCTCAGGCCCCACCCAAACGGGCAGCTTCACGGCACCGAGGTCTTCAGTTACTTCACTATATCCGTAGGCTGAGAAGCCTTGCACTCATGGGAATGTTCTACAAAGCATAAAGCAAGCAGCATCCATGTGACCGTTAGCCAGTCTTCCTCCCACCTGGTTTTCTGACAAGGCCCTTGCCGTCCATCTCTCTGGGACAGCCTGAGGTAACCAGGCTTAGATAACCACGCTGCCCGTGTGTTTTTCCTGTATGGTAAACCAGTGACTGCTGACTACCCTCTCTGCTCCTTGAAGCTTGCCACCACTAGTGAGAGCTGGTGTGACTTTTCTCCCCAGCCTACCTACGTGTTTGCCCAGTCACCACCATGGATATCATCTGTTGGTAGTAGAACTCTCTTCCTTCTTTCCTTTCTTTCTTTCTTTCTTTCTTTCTTTCTTTCTTTCTTTCTTTCTTTCTTTCTTTCTTTCTTTCTTCCTTTCTTCCTTCCTTCCTTCCTTCCTTCCTTCCTTCCTTCCTTCCTTCCTTCCTTCCTTCTCTCTTTCTTCTCTTTTTCTTTCTTTCTTTCTCTCTCTCTCTCTTTCTTTCTTTCTTTTTCTTTCTTCCTTTCCTCCTCCCTTCCTTCCTTCCTAAGATTTATTTACTTATGTATATGAGTACTCTACCTGCATGTAGTGCCTGCATGAGAGAAGAGAGCATCAGAGAGTAGAGGGCGCCAGATCTCATTACAGATGGTTGTGAGCCACCATGTGGTTGCTGAGAATTGAACTCAGGACCTCTGGAAGAGCAGCCAGTGCTCTTAACCGCTGAGCCATCTCTCCAGCCCCCTTACTTTATTTCTTTACTAGCTTGAGGTCTCAGCGGCGCTGATGAGCACAGCTGTATCAGCTCTTTAAAGTAGAGATTTTTATCTTCAACAACTGTCACAGAATGAACATTCACTGTGTTTCTAGACATGAGCTTGCCCAGGCTTAGGAATAACTCTTTTGGGTCAGCAATCCATTTGATAGGCGATGAAACAGAAGCTAAGAGGTTAAGAGACTTGCCTGTGATCACACAGATAGCAAGTGGCAGGGTGTGGACTCATCTAGGCTGATGTCCAAACTCCACTTTCTCCTTCAGTATTGGGGCCTGAAGCGAGGGCTTTTGCACTAGGGTTTTGCACACGATTGACACAGACACTGGCAAAGATGTATACTCCAGGGCTCTGTCTAGCCTTCTGTTTTGAGATGCACTCTTGCTAAGTTGCCCAGACAGTCCTTGAACTTGAAATCCTCCTGCCTTAACCACTCTAGTTAGCTGTGGTTGTGGGTCTGGGATACCAGGCTGAACTGATGCCCAAACTCTTGATTCCGGTCATTCAAAGCCACCTGGGTTTTAGGGACATACATTCCAGGCTTGGGAAGTTGATGTGATGGCATGGGGTGAGACCTCAAAGATGGATTAGGCATCCAGGAGAAGGTGTCCTGCTTTCTGGGTCACTGAAAAGATGTTTTCATGTACTTTCTAGGGAACTGAACCCCATAATTAACAACAATAATAACATATATTTATGAATCCTATATGGTGGTGTGCTGGGGGATTTATTAGAATGACTTAAGGCTGCACTCCAGCTAATCCAACAATGGCTTGATATGAACAGGAAGGTCCAAGAATCCAGTAGTTGTTCACTCCACAAGGCTGGGTGTATCAACTGGTCTTCAGTATATGCCAGAATCCCGAAGAAGTAGGCTCTAATGCCAGTGAAGGGATGGTCTTGCCACCGAGAGTGAGGGCAAGCAGGCACAGAGCAAAGGCTTCCTTCTTTCATGTCCTCATGTAGGCTTCCAGCAAATGGTGTGGCCCACAGAGGTGTGTTTTCCCAGCTCAAAAGATCTGGATTAAAGGTGTGTCTTCCCACCTCATAGATCAGATTGGAAGTAGCGCACCCCTCACAGGTGTGCCCCTCCATTTGGGGTTTTAGTTAATTCCAGATGTAGTCAAGTTGACCACTGAGAAAAGCCATCACGGCTTCTCAACTCCAAGTTCAAACACACCATGCGTGAGGTTGAAATCAGCCATGACGGGGTTTTCACATATTTATACTATGGCGATGGGCACTGTTATAAGTCATGGCTCTCTGGGCCCTGAGAACAGGTAAATTAAACCTTTACTAGCATGTCTGCAACTACCAGCTAAAAAAAAATCCCCATACGGAGAGAAGGTTATATCAGGATAATTGAACTCCAGCAAATACCCTGACTCCTTGTGGATGTCTTTCTGGGTGGCCTCTCCTCCTCTGGTGGCCATGTCTGGTCCTAGTTCTGTCTGTCAGGAGCCAGGCATGCTTAGATTCTCAGTGGATTCTGCCTGATGAGTCTTGGTAAAATACTGGCTCCTAGTGTGGCCTTACATTTTTTAATTGAAATTAACAACTTATGCTCCCATTCTGAGCACATTTCTGAGAACAACCGAAGGCATTGTAGATAGACCTTCCTATCGTCCCAACCCAAGTCCTGCATGATGGGCTTTCTTCCATGTGTGAGGAAGGGGGTCCATATGTCAAAGGAAAACATTGGGGCGGGTGACTAGCTGGGAGATAAAGTCCTGTCAGGCATCTATGGGCTCAGGGCCTTTTGTCTTTAGAAAGTACAAGCAATCAGCTGTGGGAAAAAATTACATGTCGCTTTGACCTAGTAAGTCATGTTTCTCAGAACCCAGCCCCAAGAAATCTTCACAGCTGGGCATGAAAGAGATGCAGCCGGGAGTTCTATGAAGCATGACCTGCCATGCCAAGCATGTGAGAACAATGCCTCAGCAGCTGTCCACAGGGACTTGACGTGAGAGAATCCCCTGCTGGCTATTCTTTTCCATGGTGAAAGACTGGAAGCTTTGTGTGGAGCGCTGTGGAAAGATGGCCGTGAGTCACCGCTGCTGCTGCTGCTGCTGCTGCAGCTGTATTTGTGGGTAGTCACAAGGGGAAGGGGTGTGAAGATGTGGGACAACCCACCATACACCCTTAGAAAGGGATTCACACTCTAAGGCAGGGATTTCCAAGGTGGTGTAAAAGCTTCCACGCCTTGTGAGGTTTGGGGAAGGCTTTTGCAAGAGAAAACTGCATCCGCTTATAACTTGGGCAGTTTTGTTTTGAAGAACTATAGATGATTCATGGAAAGTATTTTTTTTCATGAATTAATTTTTGGTGTGTGTGATGGATGCCTGTGTGTCTGTGTGTATGTGGGTGTGTGTGGAGTGCTCTCATCTGTGTGGGTGCATGCAGACGCCAGAGACTAACATCAGATGTCTTCTTCTATTGCTTTCCACCTGATTTTTTTGAGACAGGGTCTCTCCCTGAGCTTGAACTTCAACATTTCAGCTGGACCAGCTGGCCATTGAGTCCCTGTCTCCATTCCTCAGTGCTGGGGCTATGAGCACTGGGCATGCAGCTGAGGGCTACTGGTGACATGGGACACGGGGAGCCGGTCTGTTTGACTCAGCCTGGGTTTTCACAATACAAATCCAATTCCTCAAGTCAGGGTTCTTTACCATCTTTTGTTGCTGTTGTTTCATTCTGGCAAGCAACGGGACCTCCCAAAGATGGTGTCTCTACAAGCTGAAAACTGTCTTTACAGCTCTTGAAATAGTGACCTTCAAGCTCTGGCATAAGTCATCCCTGTGGTGGGGACATGGCTTACATTTTCATGGCTTAGTCAACATTCTCTAGAGTTCCCATCTGGGTGTATGTACCCAGCTGCTCTAGAATCTGGAACAAGTACCTTAGGTCTAAGTGGGGAAATAACCTTCAATATGTATTTAGAAAACCAACAGAGCAAAGATCAAACCAATCAGCCAAACAATGACCCAACCAATCAACCAACCCACCAACAAACCAATAAACCAGCTCAACCAACTTACTCATTGACCAACCAATGAATCAACCTAACCAACTGGCCCACCAACCAACCAACAAACCCACCCAGCCAACCAACTTGCCCACCAAGGAAGTGATAAACCAACCCAACAACTTACCCACCAACCAACCAATGAACCAACCCAAGCAGCCAACTCACTTACCAATGAACCAGTGAACCCATGAACCAACCCAAGCAAGCAAGCAAGCAAGCAAGCAAGCAAGCAAGCAAGCAAGCATAATTCCCTGGGCTGAAGGAGAAAAATAAGAACAAAGAGCAAAGGTGTGGGGGGTGGGGAGTGACAGAGATAGAGAAGCATTCAGAAACAATACTGAGGCGATGGTAAGATCATGAGGAGGCCTGGAGAGAAATCTGGTTGTGGGTCCACAGTATGCTGGTGTAGCCTGCCCAGTTCTATTCTGTAGTGTAAATGTTCCCCCACTGTGCCCCATTTTAAGCTACCAGTGTGTTGCCACACGGCATCAGGAAGAGATGCTTGTGTGCAATGGGCTCTGGAGAGAGTGTAGGAGCTGGCTCCAGCTTACCTGGGTTTGGATCCATAGAGCACGTCAACTCCTAAAGCAAGTCACCCAGCAAAAACACCAAAGCGGGGGGGGTGGGGGGTGGGTGGGAAGGATGAGATCCCCACCCCTTACCACCCAGGCGAGTGCTGGTTTACAGTAGGCTGCAGGGCTGCAGGGCCTTACTTGGGGTTCCAACAGGCAATCAAGGGCCGCATGGTATGGTGGGTGTAGTCGATAGTCAGGGCCTCTAGGAGCCAGTGGAGCGCACACAGCTGTCGGTAGAGGGCATCCCTGCAGAGACAGAGGGTCCTTTTAGAATGACATGCATGGAGGTCACAGCCGCGCTGGCTTCAGTGAGCGCGCTGGCACACAGTATAAGTGTTTTGCACACATTGCACACGAGGGCACTGGAGTCCAGAGGCGTTAGGGAAGCCACACAGTCATGGCAGAGCCATGGCTGAAGCATGAGCATCCTCTGAATTTGTTCCTCTGAATTTGTGTGTAGGGGGTAGATTTTCCCCTAGCTGGAGGTCATGACTCAGGCAAATAACAATGAGAACTGAAGGCAGTTAATATCCCACCGATGTCCAGTCATGTATCTTATTAAAAAATGCAATAAATAGCCTGAGGGTATAGGAAAGCCTGGAAACGGGAAACAACATTAATTGGGTTGAAACATAGGTGGCTGTTGAAAAACACACTGAGCCCCTTATTTGAAAATGAACGAAAAACACGGCTTACCAATCTGTCTAATGGGCGTTTCTGATCGTTTGGAGACCTTATGCTATCCACAGCAAACCGGACAATCACTGGTGTGCTCTTTCCATATTATTAAAAATTCCCAACAACCTGGTGGGGAATGAATTATTATCTCCATTTTAGAGAAGGGGAAACTGAGGCCCAGAGAGCACAGAGAGTTTTGCTCAGGCTCATGCTACTCATCATGTTACACAGAGATGGCATTTGAATGTTGGATTTAGTGCTCATGGCAACATGATAGACTGTTGAACCTGGGAGAGAGAGGGGCAGTGAGTTACCTGAGGTCACACAGCTAGCATTGTCGAGGATTTGAACTGGAGAGTGATCTGCCCTAGAGACTGTGCCTTAGGGAGCTGAGCAATGACTAGGTACTGATGAAGCCAGTGTGTGGTGATCACTCTGCTGGTGAGTGAGGTCAGGAGAGGGTTAACCTGCTGCTTGTGGTTTTCTTGGAAACAAGGTGTAGTCCTGGAAGCTGCCCCACCCGGCAAGATTTCTCATCCCGCACTAATGGAAAGGAGGTCTCCATTACCAAGCTTCATGATAGCTCTTTCCTGAAACTGCACTGTGCCCAGACCGCTGCTCCCCAGGGTTCCCAGGCCCGCTGCTCCCAGGAGCAGGAAGGGATGGTTTCTCAGTTTCCAGGAAGATCTCTCCTCTCTTAGAGTTTCCCCTGAGAGCCATCCCTCCATTCACCGAGCATGGAGCAGAGCTGCCCCCCACCCCAGCCTTTCTTGCTAGGGAGGGTGTGATGATCATGTCTAAGGACAACTAGCCACCCCACCCCGTGTGTGTGTGTGTGTGTGTGTGTGTGTGTGTGTGTGTGTGTGTGTGTGTGTGTGTCTTCCACACACACCCATCTGGATGAAGAAAAGTATTTTCCTTCTATAAGCAATTTACCACGTACACCTCTTCCCTCCTTTAGCACCGTCTTGGGTTCCACCGCAGGTGGCAGCATGGGTTGGTAGCTCTGTGTCCTGCATTTAGAAAATGAACTCAGTGTGTTGTGTGCCTGTTCCTGGGCCGTAAGCCCCTTGATTCTCCCTCACTGTAATGTTAGCAAGCTGTGAAAGGTTGGGACAGGGGCCCCTGCAGGCCTAGGCTGTGGATGTGTGGGGTGGAGGTGGGGTAAAGCAAGGAGGTTAGTGCTGGGGATGGAGTCACGGGGCCTGTGAATGTCAAATCCATTCACACCCTCCTTCCATTCTTCTCTGTTCTTCCCTCCCTTCCCTTATCCTCCCTTCTTATCTTCTCCTCACTTCTCATTTCCTTTCACTTCTTCCTTCCTTCCCTCCCTCCTTTTCCCCTCCCCTTCCCTTCTCCTTTCACCTAGGCTCTCTCAACCCATCCGTCTTTTATTCCCATCCCCTCCATCCTAGTGATTTCTGAAAGTGCCCCAAACAATCAAAGCGGACCCTCTCCACCCTTGCTTAACATCTCCAAACTCCCTAAACCACCTGTCCTGGGCTTAATTGTGGAGCTGGAAATTCTTCTGTTAAAAGCTAATCCCTCCAAGTGTGAGTGTATTTGGAGATACGGCCTTTGAAGAGGCACGTCGTTTAAAACGGAGCCATTTTGGAAGGCTCTAATCCAGTCTGACTGATGTTCTTAGTGGGAAGAGGGAATATGGACACAAAGATTCTCCATGGCTACAACACAGGAAAGGCTGTGAAGAAACAGAGAGGGGACCGCTGTGTGGCCAAGGAGAGACCAGCCTCTTAGACGTCCAGTCCCCAGAACTGGGAGACAATAAACTCCGTTTGTGTAAGGTCCTGGGGAAGCCTTCCTTGTTCCCTCCAGGTCTAGGTTGGGCTCTGTTCAAGGGTATCCCTACACCATGTCCCCCTGTCTCTACACCGCAGGTCCCTGCTTTAGCACAGCTCCATGCTCATTGACTGTCCTTGCTCTCAAGGACCAGCAGGCCACATGGTCTTGGCCAGCTGCATGGTTTGCTGCATGGACACAGATGGGCTCAGCATCTTTCTGGTTGCCGAATGGAAGATGGTGGGAGCCAGTTTCTTTCGATCTGACATTTTCCCTGACTGAGCTCTCATGCTCAGGGCCACTGAGATATAGTGTGTAGTGACAGCACCACCCCAATAGTAACTGTGAACACCCCCAAGAGCAGTGCTGTTTTAATGGTTCACTCTCCGTGGATTACTCTCATCCTTATGAATCTGGGAGAGGGTACCATTAGCATCACTATTTTGTAGATAAAAGAAACTGAGTTATAAAGGACCACGAAACTCATCGAAGGTCAAAAGGCCAGTGAATGACAGAGTTGGAATCTGAGTCCAGCCTCCAGAATCCCTTCTAATGTTTCCTGCCGTACGGTAGAGTCATTTTTCATCAGGAAATGGTTTCATCTGATGGGTCTAGATCACTTACAAGGAGTCGGAAACTCGACACTCTCTCACCTCATCTGTAGTGAACGAACTTGGAAATAGGCAAAAACAAAACCTGGAAGCTTGGTTGATAGAGATCTGCCTTTTCTCTGCAGGTCACAGAACAATAGCTCAGATTTAAAAAGAAAACACTTATTTGCTTGACTGCAAAGCACAATAGATAAAAATCTCTGCATGGGGTTGCACAAAGCTCATGTCCGCAATGCCTAGGCTCAGAACCTGAGAACCAGCAGCCACACGCCTGAGCAAATACAGTAGGAACCCGAGGGGTGGGAGTGAACATCCCTGGGTGGGTGGGGGGGCGACAGTAGTTTCCTCTCACAGATGCCAGACCATGTGTACAATGCTGTTACAGCCATCTACCCCAGTGTTCAATGGCAGATCTGGACATAGGGTGTGGGCATGCTTTTACTGAATGGGTATTTAGAAAAGGCTGCTAGGGACAGCCTTGTCATTGTATCGAGATGGTAGGAATCTGTGTCTCAATCCTCTAGACCGCCCCTCCCATTTTTGAAAGGTAAAAGCCAAGTCTCCCCTGGGGTGATGGGATCGATTCCACACAGTTAATTCAGGATTATCACCCAGCTTTGGGATCAGTTGCACTGGGACTGAGGGGGCTAACCAGGCTCCGGTCTACCCTGGCTGATGCTGTGGCTCAGAGCTTAAGAGATGACACGCAGAGCCTGCCCTCATGTCTTTCGGTAGATTAATGTTATGGTTAGAATGAGAGGCGTTCCCCCACAGGCTCACTGTTTGAGGTGGTCCCCAGCCGATGGTGCTGTCTTGTGAGACTGTGAAATCTCTGGGTCGTGATGACTAGATGGCAGATCAGGGCCCTGGGAGCTGTGTCTTGGCTTGGTTCCGCCTGAGTTCTTCGCTTTGTGATCAGCTCAGGTAAAAGCAGGCTGCCTGATGCACCTACTGCCTTGCCTTCCCCTCTAGGGTCGGCTGAATCCCCTCAAACTCAAGCCAGAATAATTTCTTCTTCCATGACATTGCTTCTTTTTCTTTTGTCTTTTTACAGTTTTTAATTATTACATTAGATAATTAATTAAATAGTTAATGACACCAAGTAACTAATTAAGTAACTATTAAAATTATTTGATGTGCTGGGATAGGGGGTGTGTTGTGTTACACCTGTGTCCATCAGAGGACAAACTGCAAGAATCAATTCTCTCCTTCCACCTTGCAGGCTGTAGGGATCAAACTCAGGCCACCAGACACAGCAGTAAGTGAGGGCCTTTACATGTTGGGCCCCTGTGTTACTTTTTGTTAAGTATTCTGTCACAGTGGAAAGAAAAATGCCTAATACAACTGATTACAAAGATGCTCTAATTCATGGAGAGATGGCTCAATGGTTAAGAACACTGGATGCTCTTCCAGAGGACTCAGGTTCAGTTCTCAGCACCCACATGGGGTTCACAACTACCTGCAACTCCAGCTCCAGGGGATCTGCTGCCCCCTTCTGAGCTCTGAGGACACTGCACTCATACATACACACACACACACACACACACACACACACACACACACACACAGAAACAGTTAAAGAATAATAAAATAAATCTCTGAAATACCCTGATCCCCCTCCCCACTCTTTATTTTACATCCTCTGTGTTTTGACTTGCTACTTCATCTTATCAAGAAGTGGAATCTCTCCCACTCCTTGTGTCTGGTCTGGTCTTCTGACAGGCTTGGTCAACAGAATGGTAGAGGGCCACTGTGCCTCTTGTGAGCTTTTGCCTTAGGAAGCCTTGTGTTCAGGCTCTTGTTCTCAGAATTTCTCTTGGATATAGTATGAATAAGCCCATAGCTGCCTACACTAGATGTTGAGAGATGCATCTATCATTCTAGTCACCAAGCAACCAATCTAACAAAAGGCTGCTCCTGCCAAGACCAGCCAGTCTCCAATTTACCCAACAACTGGATACAAACACGGAAGCAGACCCAGCCAGAACCAGCTAAGGTGGGTTCACCCAGCAATCTGTAGACTTGGAAGCAAGGAGAGAGAGTTCTAAGTCACTCCAAGTTGAGAAATACATTAATGTTCTAGCTATTCAACATGGCCAGAACCTTTCACTAGTCAAGGAAAAGAAATGGCCATCTGTAGTTTATGGCAAGGGTTGGCAAACTATAGTCAGTGAGTGGGTTTCTCCCTTGTTTCTATAAAGAAAGCCTTATTGGAACACAGACAATACAACTCACCCTTGTCTCTTTCATACTACAAATGTAAAGTAGTTGCAAGAGAGACCATAGGATGTGCAAAACCCAAAACATTTACTAGATACCTCATAGATAACAATAAACATATTACTATAACATTCACTGTGAGTTGACAACCACAATGATATCCTATCTAATATACCTGAGCTTGGAGCCAGAGCCAGGGAATTAAGGGTCCCATTGTGAGACCTCAAGCAGGGTTCATCTACTACTGGAATTCACTTTCCCCATTTGGCATTGATGGAAACTATTTCTGTTCACTACACTTAAGGCTCATTGTGTTTAAGCCTCATTGTTCAGATCAAATGAATGGGGAATAGGACCCATTTTTTTCAAGGCATCTCTTCCCATCTCTTGATGTATGTGAATCTCATGCTTCCAGAGGGCATATCCATGGGAATGGCGGGGAGACAGGAGAGTGCTTCCAAGAGACACCGAGCAATCACAAGGCCTGTTTTCCTAAGGCGACACTTTAAGGGCGTCCAACTTAGGCTGCCACTTGGAATGCTCATGATGAATAGGTCTACCGAGAAACCCAGACAATGTCAACCAAAGGTAGGCAGGAGGCCAGTGTGATGAGGTGGGATTAACATGGACTATTAAGAAGGGATGCGGACGTGTTCAGTGTGTGCTGCTGATGACAGTGTCGATGGATGATAATGAATGATGGAGAATGATGATGATGGTGGTGATGATGATGGTGGTGGTGGTGGTGGTGGTGGTGGTGATGATGGTGGTGGTGGTGATGGTGGTGGTGGTGGTGGTGGTGGTGGTGGTGGTGGTGGTGATGATGGTGGTGGTGGTGGTGGTGGAGGTGGAGTGGGTAATAGCTGCCTGCATCTTCTACCATGAACTAAGGTTAGTCTTTGTGTGCAGGAGACTTAACTTTCAAAATATATCATGACTCCCCAAAGGCAAGGCCTTGAGATCTACTTTCTATAGCGCATGTAAGGGGAACTTGGGGTGTGACATCAGACAGATCTGGCTTAAAGCCTGGGAGGGTGACATGCTGTGTGTGCTCTGGGACCAAGAAGCGGCAGGTCCACATCTTTGAGCTTCCACTTTCTTTTTTTGCGGAGAGGGACGAGGAAATGCCTACACAGTAGGGCTGCGGAGAGGGCTGAGTGTATGTGGTGTCTACAGAATGGCAGTCATTACCGCAAAGACCGTGGGAGCAGAATAAACGCAGAATGTTCTGTGCAGTGCTGTGAATGCCTTCTCCTAAGGTAGAGGTTTCCAACACTGGGGTTGGAGGGGACATCTGTTCATGTCTGCAGACATCTGTGGTTGTCACAGCTTGCAGGGTGAGGGTGCTATTAACATCTGCTGGGCAGAAGCCCAGGATGCTGCTTTTAAATATCCAGTCCTACACGGGAGAGCTCTTCACGGCAATGAACTCTCAGTCTCCAGATGCCAATAGGGCTGAGGTCAGAGGTCATGTCTCTGCCTGAACCTTTCCAGGTAGAAAGCTGTGGACTTAGAGCTCTCGGAAGAGACAGGAGAAGAACCGGATGTCAGGGTTTCAGAAAGCAAGCATGCACTTTGGAAGGTTGACTAGTCTCTGCATGCCGTGAGATGAGCAGGCCAGGCCTTTAGGCATCGGATCACAGAGACTTCCCTGGGAAATAGCTCTCTGAGTCTTGGGGGGAAAATCATGTCCCCTGAGCTGAGATGTTTTTGTACAAGCCCTGCAGCGAGAACTCAAGACAGATTCTGTCAAGCTTTGCAAACTATTTTACATTTGAGCGTCTGGCTTGGTGAGGGAAGGGATGACTCCTGGCCCATCTGATTTGCTGCTGGGGTCTAATCCACCACATCTATGGTGTCTCTTCTCTGTTATTTTTTTTTTATGAGCCAGTTTTGCCGGCTCCAAGCTCCTCATCCCTTTCAAGAGGACAAAGGAGCAACCAAATGCCTCCTGACACATAATCCGTGCTTACACGTGAGAGTCGGGCAAGGAGGGAGCCATGAGGCAGCTGTGGACCGGCGTGAACGGACGCATAATGATGCCGGCCTCCATCTTCTTTAACTTCTCATCCTCATAGGTACTGAGGGAAGAACAGAAGGAGGAGCAGGGTGAGTCATACATAGCAGCTTTAGACCTTATCTATGACAGAGTTTATTTGGCACTCATTACTGGGCACCTACAGTGTGCCTGGCAATCATGCCAGCATGCTGGGTGAGACTTCTAGAAGCCTATGAACAGAGCATATTAAAAGAAAACAACACTTGCCCCACCAGAGGAGCCAAGAAAATCAGCAAGGAGGGAAACCCTTTGTTTTGGAGACACCGTACCAGGTGTTGGAAATGCTTCCTCAAGAATAAGACAAGAAATACTTTTGTGTTCATTTTTCATTGTTGTGACAAGAGACTCAAGTGAAATACATTGAGAGAGAAAGGATTTGCTTTGCCTCAGAGTTTCAGTCTATCCTGGCAGGGAGGGGATGGTGGGTCAGCTTACCCTGCAGAGCAAGAGGGGAGAGGGGAAGAAAGAGAAAGGGTAGAGGAGGAGAGAGGAGAGGGAGGGAGCAAAAGGGGGGAGAAGGGGAGAGGGGTGGAGAGGAAGTGGGGAAGGAGGAGAGGGAGACAGAGAGAAACCTGTGGTGACTTGCTTTCTCAGTCTCCCCCTTTTATTCCATCTGGGCTCCCAGGCTGTGGGATTGTGTGGCCCACACTCAGGGCAGATCTTCCCTCTCGGGAAACCCTCTCCCAGACACACCCAGAGGTGGGCACTGCAAATCTCCTAGGCGTTTCTCAAGTCAGTCAATGTTGACAACCAAGACTGACTGGCACACTCTCCATCTCTGGCTGGGTTCCAGGAATGGTGTTTTGAAACCGTATTTCAGTGTTTCGTTTTTCTTCAGCCCTCACAGAGCAGGTTATCTCAGTTATAGAAAATGGTTTTCTTTCAAATATTCCTGCATCACAGGCATTTTTCCCCCTTATAACTGAATTCGGCCTGCAGGTATATTTTAATCAAACTACTGTGTGTGTGCATATGTGTGTGCGAGTGTGTGTGTGTGTGCCTGCACATGCAACTTAATCGACCACCCATATTTTAAATTTGGGAAACTTCATGTAAAAATTGTAAAGCTTTGGTTCTTGAAACCTTAAAAATGCTGGTCACTCCCGGCCATGTCACTGCTAAGCATCAGCGGCAGCTGAAGATGACAGGTGTGTGGGGGGGGTTGTCTCTGCTTGTTTGGCTGGGGTCATACACCCCAGGCTTGAGCACTGCTGGTTTCCACTCACTTTTTCCCTTGAAGCGCTAATAGTTCAGGAGTCGCATGTAAGTGCTTTCCATACAGGGTGGCTCCCAGATCACCCACACTTCCAGTGATAGCTAAAGAATATCTTTTCTGTTTAGGGGCAGCAGATGTAACATCCAAGGAGACTGAGCCTCCCCTTTCCCTCCTGAGGCTTAGAGTCTTGTGGGGTTGGGTGTAACCAAGCACACAATGGGGCTCAGTGTATGCAGAGTATGACAGCCTAACATTGGCTATAATCCCCTGAGGGAGCCATGACAGTTACAAAGAACATCACCCAGATTCACCGATAAACCTCCAGATGAGAGTGGGTCCCCATACTTCCCCCCTGTTCTTAGGTGGTGGCTCTGTGGTGGGTAGACTCAATAGAATTTGCCAAAAAGTGATGTCATGTCAGGATTCAAGAGGGAGTGGCCTCTCCTCCCTGCGTCCTGGGATGTTGTCAGCATCTGCTCTGTGAGGAATCCCTTGGCCTGTGAAGAGGCTCACGGGGGGAGGCAGCAGGCCAGTGTGAGGGAGCAGGTCTCCTTGAGCCACCCTAGCTGACACCAAAGGCAGCAGTGACTATCCTTTGATCTTAGTGTCCGTCGTCCTGAGTTAGTAAGTTTTGGAGTCGGCACTTCATGGAAACACTGAACTGAAACCTGAAGGTTGGATGGAGTTCACTAGGCGACTAGAAGAGAGGACGGGCCCGTACTGGGAGGCAGTACTGGGAGGCGTGTGGTCAGCCTGGCAGAGGAGGCTGGGCGCCGAGGCAGAAACAGGAGTCCATGAACAAGACTGCCTGGGCCTGTGAGCTCTGCCCATGCTTCTCTCTTTGTCCACCGAGGAAAGGAAGCCCTCGAGAGGGTGCTGTGGGGAGCAGTTTCTCTTGCAAAGATCAGCTTCATGTGAGGTCACGCTGGCACACACGTGAGGACCAGACACCTTCCTCTAGGGAATTGGAGGACAGTCTTGGGGTCATGGAGCTAATTAAAAGACAGCCCCAGAATCTAGGTGCCCCAGTTCCCGTGTCCGTTGACTCTGTATTTGACACTAGAGCTGGAAGACACACTAGAAAAGAAAAATCTCACCGGCAAGCACATGGCCGTGTTCTGTCTTGCTGGCCTAACCGTGTCTCCCAGAGTAAACAGAAATTAACCCAGCACTCATACTCCTTAATCTCTGGTTTGATGTCTTCTCTTGACTCCAATAATAAGACAAATTCCACTCCCCCTCCACCTCTTCCAGCTGAATCAACAGCTGAAAAACAAGGTCATTGAGCCAGTGGGGAGGAGAGCTTGCCGGCGGGGGCCTTGTGGGATGGGCTTGATTTCCCCTTTTCCTTGTCCAGTTTGTCAGACTTAAAACTTCTGCCTGGAATCACTTAGATGCTGAGGTGTGTGTGTATGGGCGGGGCAAAACCAATCCCCTTTGCATTTTAAAAACAAAAGATCAAATACTTGGTTAGAAGACATTTGTAAAAGAATGCTTGCATTCGTGAGACCTCTGTGTTGGAACTGTATTTGTAGAAAGTAGGTCTAAGATGTGGGCCGCTTTCATGGAAAATAAGATTTCTATGCAAAAATGTAACGGAAGCCCTGAGAGATCACAATCACCTTGTTGTATTACAGTCGCTGATGGCCACTGAGCATGTTTTGTATGCTGTGGTCTGTGCTCAGCAGAGCCATCATTTCATGTAATCCTCACAGTAAGGAAGGGGGTCTGGTACCATCCATCTGGGTAAAATAAAGGAAGGCCCGGAGAGGTCCAGTGAATTGCTCAACGTCCAGCAGTTGTATAGGCGGAGTCAGAACTTGAACCCAGGTCCTAACTACTCTTGACTACGACCCTGTCGTGCTGTAGACAGTCTCTTCGTGCTAACTTAGAAAGCAAGGCCCACTCTTGCGTTTGATGCTGCACCCACGGAGTGGGGAGTCATTTATTTTGTTTTGTGCAGCTCAGAGAGTCTGCCAGGTGAAACATAAACAGACCAACGAAAGGAGTGACTGCATGCGTGTTTAAACTTATTAAACTTTGAACCATGTCTCGCATACCCCAACATGGACCAAAGAGAGAGAAGGGTCCTCTGGCTGTGGATTAAAGCCACATCCACATAAGTGGGATGTTCTATGCGGCCCCTTCAACATTCTCCTCTCCTTGTGTGGTGCAGGTTGGGTGGCTTGTTCATTAGAATACAGTTTCTGCAAAAAGGAGCCAGGGCTTTACTCCTCTTTATCCTATAGCAGGGCTGCCAGCTGACGGGCAGCACTGGGGGACCTGGGCTTGGGCAGAGTGATGGGCTCTGGGTAGAAGGCAGAGTTAGCACCATGGTCTTGGGACTGTCAGAAAAAGAAAGACCCCTTGGTCACTGACCGTCTCTCTCTGTGTCACATACCTTTTTCAATGTCCAATGAGGACATTTTAATGGTTGTGACCCCGAACATGTTGTGTATGACTTTTGGCCAGAGACAATGCATGGAGAGCTTGCTGTGAAGAACAATGTGGTTTATGTTTCCTGGGGTGCTGGGGATTGAACTCCAGACCTTGTGAATGCTAGGAAGTGCTCTCTCATTGACTGACACGCCCTCCTGGGGAGGGTAACCTCTAACCTTATACAGCGGTTGGAAAACTGTGATTGATCACAGTGGGTTGTGTACTCCCTCATAGTGAACAGAGATGGCTTTGAATGTTTTCTACTCAAACTAACATGTTTGAGGTGATAGATCTGGTAAGGACCCCAATCTGACCATTGCATGTCACACGTGTGTACTGAGATGCCACGCTGTACCCTATGAACACACAGTCATTTCTGTGCCAGTTAAATGTTTAAAGGTGCTTTTAAGAAAGAAAATACAGTACTACCCTAATCATGTATGCTGGATGCCAAGACTTTCTGATGGACTGTTACTGGTGTGTCATAGATGTACCTGTTGGTATCACACACCATTTCCCATCATCATCCCAGTCCCGATCAACGCTTTACTCTCTGGGGTGTTTTTCTTTCTTTCTTCTTCTTCTTGATTCCTGTTTATTCTTTCAACTGAAAGGGATAGGTGGAGTGGAGTTCAGAGTTCTGTGTGCTGACATCTTTCAATATATCACCATTAGTTGTTCGGTAAGAATGTGTCAGATTGGGCTGGAGAGATGGCTCAGTGGTTAAGAGCACCGACTGCTCTTCCAGAGGTCCTGAGTTCAATTCCCAGCAACCACATGGTGGCTCACAACCATCTGTAATGAGCTCTGGTGCCCTCTTCTGGCCTGCAGGGATACATGCTGTATACATAATAAATAAATAAATTTAAAAAAAAAAAAAAAAAAAAAAAAAAAAAAAAAAAAAGAATGTGTCAGATTGTTGTAGTTTGAATGTGAAATGTCCCCCACAGGCTTACATGTGAGAACACTTAGCCCCCAGCAGGTGGTGCTGTTGGGGAAGGCTGTTGAAGGAGGTGGAGCCTCGCTGGAGGAAGTGGGACATTGTAGGAGGGACTGGAGTGTGGTAATATATTGTGTATCCCAACATACTGTTGGAAACAGGGGAACTTAAAAATGCTACAAATATGTAACTCTTCCCAGCCCATGACAGAGCCCACTATAACTAGCTTGGATGTAGCCTGGACACTAGTGGTTAGTGGTTTGAAAATCTCTCCAGGCCATTCTTGTTATTATTTTTTGATTGGGGGTTTTTGACCTCCTGTCTCAGCTTCCTTGGTAGCTGTGAATTACCATCAGCTACCAGGTGATTTTAATGGGTTGCTGGGGTGAGCTTTGCTAACTGGTTACAGCTGCAGCCGGTTTCTATCACGTGCCTCCTCCCTGTCGGCTTTAGAGGTCTCTTCTCATTCCCAGGGTATACTGTGCTCCACCCTCACAAGCTAAGTTTCCTGGGACCTTGTCCGTGATGATTGTGGAAGCTCATAGGCTTTGGTACCACCGGGTTTGCGACTGAAGATGCTTCCAACTAGTGATGTTGGGGAAACCAACAGGTGTCTTTTAGTCCATGTTTCTATGGCTCTCAAGCAGGGCTAATAAATTCCTGTTTTGTGGGGACGATGCACAGTGAACATCCATCACTACTGCTGTGTTTGCTGCTATGACTCCTCTTGCTGTTTTATCTATGTGAGCATCTCATAACGGAGCGGTCTGTGGATGGTCCTCCCCTAGCCAGGAGAAAGGCTTCCTGAGAGGGAAGTGGCTTTACTCAGAACACAGACATTCTTCTGTGTGCTCGCTTTGTGTAAAAACCAGGGGCTGTAGCTGGGGGCGTAGAGCAGAGACACTGACATGGGATAAAGTGATGAATGCAGGCACATGGTGTGAGGACCCGGAGAACAAATGGTCCTGAAGGTGGGTTGGCTGAAAGCTAGGAAGTACCGGGAGGAAGCAGCACTGAAAACCGGTGTTGAGTACTGGAGTACTGAGCAGAGCTTTGGTTGGAAGAGGATGTGGGGAGGGATCAGGGTAGGAGAAGGTTTGGAAAACATGGGGGAAGTGTATTTGGGAACAAGCCAGATAGATGTCTTCTATCCCCCTTAGTATCGTCAGATAGGAGGGTGGAATGTGCAATAGAAGATTTTCCACTTAATGCCAGAGAGTGAGGATGACCAGGAAGATTGGACAAGGCTGAAGAAAGGACTGAGGACCAGCCTAGGGAAGGGGGAGCCACCCTGAGCGAGCCTTTGCTGCCCAGCATCCCCGAGGCTGCTGCCCACTTACGTCATCAGAGTGCCCCTGCACTGGATATCTGAGTACTTCTTGGCCGGTTGGAATTTATTTAATTCTTCCTCCTTCAGCTTCTGGAGCTGCTGTTCTCGCTTTTTCACGGCATTTTCCTCTCGCAGTATGGTAAAATATCCACGGCCTATCTTCACACACTGGATCAGGAAGCTGGAGGCAAGAGCAGGGGCGGGAGGTGGGGGAGGGAGATAGAGGCAGACAGATACGCAGATAGGTGGATAGGGAGATGGATATAAAGTGAGAGGGAGAGAGATGAGGGACAGTGACAGGTGGATGGATAAATAGACGGACAGATAGATGTATATGCATAGAGAGAGAGGCAGGGGCGGGGGAGAGATATCCAAGACAAGCTCTTAAGTATATTAGGACAATATCCTTCAGTCTGAGGATCAACTATCTCACGCCCACAGAACAGGACCCTCATATCATGGCTTGATTGTGACATGTCCCCCCCAGGCTCTTGTCCTGAGTGTTCGGCTCTTCAGCTGGTGGCCCTCCTTTAGGAGTCTGTGGGGCTTTTGAGATGTGGGGAGCAGCTGGCAGATGTGGGTCATGGGGGACCTTTGAAGGTTCTGGTTCTGGTTCCTCTCACTATGCTTTTTGGTTGCCTGAGACATGAGTGGTCTCTGTCACCTGCCACCAGCGACTGAACTGCCCTGTGTCCAGCCATCCCCGCCATGATGGACTGAAACCGTGAGATAAAATGGACCTTTCCTTCGTCAGATTGTCTGTATCAGCTGTTTGTCACGGTCACATGGAAGTAAGGAAGATCCCCTCCCGTCTCTGCGTTTCCAGAGTCAGACAGTCCTTGGCTTGAGTGCTGCATCTGTCTTTTACTAAGACCTGGGACAGGCTGTTTCATCCCTGGAAAGCTCTGTTCTACCTCCCAGCTGGTGTTTACGGAGCATGTTTCCTAGAGTCAGCCTGCTAAAGGATGCTATGTGGAGACACGAAGAGCCAGAGCCCAGGCCAGGGAGATGATTCTGTGAGTGAAGTGCCTTCCACGCAAGTGTGAGGACCCGAGTTCAGATCTCCAGAACCATGTAAAAAGGTCAGAGATGACAGCATGCTCCTGGGTGTAGCAGAGACAGGCACATCCCTGAAGCTCACTGGCCAGCCAATCAAGCTGGACTTTGTGGTGACAGATTGTGAACCCTAATAAACTTGCCTGAAGATCAGAGGACAGAGCCAGCCACTAGATTAGACACAGAGGTCAGGCAGTTGTGGCACACGCCTTTAATCCTAGCACTCGGGATTAATCTGAATCTCTGAGTTCAAGGCCACACTGGGCTACAAGAGATTGATCCCGTCTAGGAGATAAATAGAGCCAGGCAGGGGTGGCACACACCTTTAATCCCAGCACTTGAGATCTCATGCCTTTTCTTGGGAAGCACACACACCTTTAATCCCAGGAAGTAACATGGCAGGACAGAGAAAGGTGTATAAGGCATGAGGAAACAGGAACTCACTCTCTTGAAGCTGAGGATTTCCTAGGGGTAAGAACTAGTGGCTGGCTGTTCTGCTTCTCTGATCTTTCAGCTTTCACCCTGATATCTGGCTCTGGATTATTTTTTTATTAAAAGACCATCTAAGATTAGAACAACAGACCTCATCTCAAAAACTAAAGATGAGAAATGATCAAGGAAGACATCCAGTGTCTCCACACGAATGGACCTCACATGCACACACACCAGCACGCAAATGTGCACAACCCACAGTAACACACACACACACACACACACACACACACACACACACACACACACACACTTCACAGCCAACAGGATTAGAGACAACATGCATAGGAAGAACCAGCAGGTGCCAGGCCTTCAGAGGGACGTGTCCATGATCATTGATGGCAGAGCAGGTAGCGCTGAGGGTCTGGGGTCTGACCAAGGCTTCCTTCTCTTCGATTTGCATACATACATTTGTGAGCTTGGCTTAGACATCTGAGTTGTTACGTGTAGATGGCTGCTGTACCATGTGACCTGTGTTGGGATTTGACCTTTTTTTTTTTTTTTTTTTTTTGCCAACCCAACCATGGCCCCTTGATCAGCCCTGATGCATATGGCCACGCCTCCTTCCTCTTAGCCATCTTTAGCAGAGGTGGGATTTGACAGCAATGAGCTGCAGAGCAAAGGATGATGGGTGTGTGCATTTTGTCAACTTGTCTGTACTGAGGCAACACAGTAAACTACCACCATGTTTCCTACATAGACATTTTGGGTCTGAAATTTAATTTGATCTGCAAATTCTTGATAAGCAGCCTATGTGTGGTGACTTGGGGATACAGCATGAACAAAACTCTGGGGTCTTTGGTGCTCATGGCCTCTTAGGGGAGAGAGAGACACACACACAAAAGGTCAACAATAACACAGAGTGATAGGGAGAAAAGATTCTGGGCTTTGGGGGAGGGGCATCTAATTCAGACTAGAGGGTCTTTGGAAACCTCGTTTAGGAGAAAATGGTATTTGATTTCTCTCTTTTGAAGTAGCCCCCTTCTCCTGGTTTCTCATTGTGTAAATCAAACTGGCCCTGAACTCAAAATTCTCTTGCCTCAGCCTCTGAGCTCTGGGATTACAAGAGTATTATACCACCCTTCCTTGACATTGCTTAATTTTGGATGGAAATCTCAAGCATTGTGTTACTTTTTGCTGTGGCAAAGTTTGGGCAAAAGCAATTATTTCTTATTATTTGGTTCTTTGAAATAGGGATTCTCTGTGTGGCTTTGGCTACCCTGGAACTCGCTCTGTAGACAGAGTATCTCAGGTGGCAGCCAGCTGATAACTGTCACTGTGTCCGTGTCTCTGGCTGGCCTTGGCTGAAAACCTATTTCTGATATCAGTGTTGGGGATGGGCTACACCAACCATCAAGGATACTGAGTTTCCTAAGGGAAGGTTCACAGTAGGGGGGAAGAAGTGCACACAAACACCGACTTTACAATTGCCAAAAGGCCATGGGGGAGAGGTGTGTGAGGGGTCCCGGCTACCTAGGGAGGAGGGCCTTCCTGGAGGAGGTGACTGAGGAGGAGCTCACCAGGAGGAAGCGGGAGTCAGTGCTGATGGATGAACTGGTCAGCATAAATGCAGAGCTGAGTCTGCCGGTGGCCTGCTGAGGGGGGAGCTGAAGCCCAGACTGTGTATGGCAGAGGCCAGGAGCCTTGCATCCTGAAGTGAACCTGGATTTGGGGACTCCGGGGGGGGGGGGGGGGGCGGGGGCTGTGCCTTCTAAAGATGCTTTAGGAAGCTGCAAACGTCTCACGGAGTGTTTGTGGGTGGCTTTCTAAGCTAGTGAGTTCCACAGACAGGCTGGGACTGGAAAACCTGAGGAAACTACTGAGTTTTCAGGACTTCTCCAGCCAAGGCAGCCAGAATCCCAGCTGCTGCGCCTTCTGGAAGGGCCCAAGTGACAGGTGAACAGGGTTGGTGGAGGGGAGAGTCTGATGCCAGACGTCCCAGTCTATTCCGGGAACTTCAGACGACGGGATCACGGAATGAGCCCGGAGGTGTTCCCCAGACACTGCAGAGGCCCATTTAAAAATGCTTAATTTTATTTTGCAGATTCTCATTTAATTCCCTGTATGTTTCCTACATCCTCCCCATCATTATTGCTGATTGCTGATTACTAGGCTATTTGTAGGATGAGAGCTATTTGCAGGGAAGAGCAGTTTGGGGCTTTAAATCTGCTCACAGGGGTGAGGGGGCTTTTGCTCACTACTTCACCGGGTGTAGAGCTCCCTTAGCTGACATCAAAGAGGGGTGGTGTGGAGGAAGGTGATTGCCAGCACCAGGGAGTGGAGGCAGAGGTGGGTTACACAATGTCAAGTTTCCTCTGCCAGACACAACTTCCTCAGCGTTGCATGGGACGGTGTTTGCATTTTCAAGGGACATATGTTCTCTGTGGGGGGTCCAGGACCATTGTAAGCGGATGGGAGGATGACTTGCTGTGCCAGTGGGCGGACTCTGCATGGCTCAGTGGGTTAGGGCAAGAGAACAGGAGTGTGCCATGAGAAGGCAGAAGAAGGGGCAGGTTCAAGTGGGATTTTTGCTTTGTTACTTTTTTGGGTGGTGTGTGTGTGTGTGTGTGTGTGTGTGTGTGTGTGTGTGTGTGTGTGTGTGCTTGTAGTGGATGCACGTGTGTGTGCAGGTGCCTGTGTGCAGAGGCCGAGGGAGGATGCCATGTGTCCTGCTCTCTGTCATCTTCCATCTTATTTCCTTGGTGTAGATTCTCTCACTGATCCTGGAGCTAGGCTGCTAACCAGAAAATCCCAGTGATCCTCCTGCCTCCACCCATGACAGTGCTGGGGTCACAGGCAGGAGACTACTCTGGCTTCTTATGTGGGTTCACGGATTTTAACTCAGGCCTTTAACATGCTTGTGCAGCGAGGGACCTAACCTGCTGAGCTATCTCCCCGTCCCTTGAGTGGGTTTCAGAATAGTGTTTGTTTTTATTTTTAATTGACATAATGATCGCACATGTTTTTGGGGTGCAGTGTGGTATCTCTGTACAAGTGTGAATGGGTAATGACCGTTCGGGGTAAGTGGCATGACCATCACCCCACATACTGGTTAGTTTTTGTGCTGGGAACATGCCAAGTCTCCTCTATGAGCTGTTTGCAAACAGTTAATGGTTGTCATTCAGCTACAGCCCTCCGTGCTGTGGACCACCCCAAGTCCCACTGCACCCTTAGCCCATTAGCCATCCTCTCTCCATCTCCCTTTCTCCTTGTCAGCCTCAAGTCACCACCATCCCGCTCCCTGCTTCTATGCCATCGACATTTTTAGCTTCTGCTTATTTTAGGGCACACCGCGTTTGCTCTTCTGCGCCTGATCCACCTCACCCAACGCGACCCCCTCCAGCTTCCCCGGGTAATTATCAATATTAAGTGTGATGCTTAGCTTTACTTGTCAACTTGACAATGTAGAATCACCTGGGAGCTGGCCCTCTGGGCGTGCCTGTGGGGAATTATCTTGATTTGTTAACTGAGGTGAAAAGCGCCATCTTGATGATGGGTGAGACTATGTCATGGGCTGCATCCTGTACACTGTAAATGTGGAGAAATCTAGCTCTGTATGAGCACACATGGTGTGAGCAGCAGAGCTGTCTTCCTGTCTTCTTCCTGGCTGAGGGTGTGGTGTGGCCAGCTGAA